TGCTGTCTGAAAGCCACTGTAAGCGTGAACAATCAATCAAGAACTGAAATGATTTATCAAATCTTTCCAATGATTGCTAAGGTAGAATCCATCTTCTCGGTTGAAATTGTCTCTGTGTTTGTATATGTGGATAGCCTCATGAACGAATCTCTCATGGAAGCCAGATGGCTTACAAAGAACCTCCGTCTTGGAAAAGTCAATGGCATGTGAGCCTACTGAATTAGAACAATGATCTGCTACGGCCGAGGTGTTGGTCCTACCAAAATCTTGAATAAACACAAGATCCAGGTCCGTTTCAACACATTACATAAAATCCGTGATCTGGTTCCGTCTGTAAAAGATGTGATTCCGGACATGCAATACCCTGGTGTCTACAAACTAAGTTGCCTCTGTGGTAGTAGTTACATTGGAGAAACCAAACGCCATATCTCGGACCGCATTCGTGAACATAAAGCAGACCTTAAACACGGTAGGACCAACACCTCGGCCGTAGCAGATCATTGTTCTAATTCAGTAGGCTCACATGCCATTGACTTTTCCAAGACGGAGGTTCTTTGTAAGCCATCTGGCTTCCATGAGAGATTCGTTCATGAGGCTATCCACATATACAAACACAGAGACAATTTCAACCGAGAAGATGGATTCTATCTTAGCAATCATTGGAAAGATTTGATAAATCATTTCAGTTCTTGATTGATTGTTCACGCTTACAGTGGCTTTCAGACAGCATACATAAAAACAAATTTCGTCTCCCCCCTCCTCTTTTCAAAAAATAGATGGACTAGTCCTGGCAAACAGCCAATCGTTGCGCGTGACGCAAACGTTATTTTAATATATATAAATAAATAAATATGCCGTTTTCAAAATAAATTTATGCAAACCGACACACCTGATGATGACCGTTTGAGTTATGGTCGAAACGTCGTGAGAATTTTTTATTGTTTTATATATATTTTGTTATTTTGTTGTTTCTCTTCAACGTGACTTTACCGAAAAAACTAAGAATATATCTTAACACCTGTTTTATTGCCAGAAAGGGTAATGCCTATTTTAATTTTCATATTTAAAGTTTGTCGCTGAGCGAGTGATGAGACTTCAACACGTGGAATAAATAGGTCGAAGGCCACGGTGGAGGTTATTTTGCAAACTGGCAGTCTTGAAGGGCAATTATCATCATAGCAATCTGCATAGACTGTGACTCTATACAGATCCCACCCCCTTTATGCGGGTTCGGTTGGTGCGATTTCGCGTATAACACCCAGGAGTCTGCAACCAAAATAACAAGTGAATTTTTTTTCGATTTCGGTAACAAACAAACATACCCCCTCAATACTCTTTGTTTTTTTTCGGTAAAGTCACGTATAGGTAAAATAAAATAAATGAAAACAACTGAATTAAATCACGACGTTTCGGAGACAACGCAAGCTTCCGTCTTCAGGTGGAAACCGTCACAGCAAAATTTAAAAACCCGCCAATGCCAGTGTGTTGAATCGTAGACGGTGGTTCTTTAATAAGTCACGTCATGAAGGGGGTCCGAAAAAAACGCCGCGGTTTTCCGACCCCTGGGGCTAACAACCCGTGCGGTTTGAATTCACTCTTAAGGCGGCTCTGCGGTCGGACGTGGGACAACATCGTGATGCGTATTGCGTGTGTACTGTGGGTGTAACGTGTACTGTGTGTGTACTGCGGGTGTAACGTGTACTGCGTGTGTGTACTGCGGGTGAAACGTGTACTGTGTGTGTACTGTGGGTGTAACGTGTACTGTGTGTGTGTACTGTGGGTGTAACGTGTACTGTGTGTGTGTACTGTGGGTGTAACGTGTACTGCGTGTGTACTGCGGGTGTAACGTGTACTGTGTGTGTACTGTGGGTGTAACGTGTACTGTGTGTGTACTGTGGGTGTAACGTGTACTGTGTGTGTACTGTGGGTGTAACGTGTACTGTGTGTGTGTACTGTGGGTGTAACGTGTACTGTGTGTACTGCGGGTGAAACGTGTACTGTGTGTGTGTACTGTGGGTGTAACGTGTACTGCGTGTGTACTGCGGGTGTAACGTGTACTGTGTGTGTACTGTGGGTGTAACGTGTACTGTGTGTGTGTACTGTGGGTGTAACGTGTACTGCGTGTGTACTGCGGGTGTAACGTGTACTGTGTGTGTACTGTGGGTGTAACGTGTACTGTGTGTGTACTGTGGGTGTAACGTGTACTGTGTGTGTACTGTGGGTGTAACGTGTACTGTGTGTGTGTACTGTGGGTGTAACGTGTACTGTGTGTACTGCGGGTGAAACGTGTACTGTGTGTGTGTACTGCAGGTGTAACGTGTACTGTGTTTATACTGTGGGTGTAACGTGTACTGTGTGTGTACTGCGGGTGTAACGTGTACTGTGTGTGTACTGTGGGTGTAACGTGTACTGTGTGTGTGTACTGCAGGTGTAACGTGTACTGTGTGTACTGCGGGTGTAACGTGTACTGTGTGTGTGTACTGTGGGTGTAACGTGTACTGTGTGTGTACTGTGGGTGTAACGTGTACTGTGTGTGTACTGCGTGTGTAACGTGTACTGTGTGTGTGTACTGTGGGTGTAACGTGTACTCTGTGTGTGTACTGCGGGTGTAACGTGTACTGTGTGTGTACTGCGGGTGTAACGTGTACTACGGGTGTAACGTGTACTGTGTGTGCACTGCGGGTGTAACGTGTACTGTGTGTGTGTACTGCGTGTGTAACGTGTACTGTGTGTGCACTGCGGGTGTAACGTGTACTCTGTGTGTGTACTGCGGGTGTAACGTGTACTGTGTGTGTACTGTGGGTGTAACGTGTACTGTGTGTGTGTACTGCGGGTGTAACGTGTACTGTGTGTGTGTACTGCGGGTGTAACGTGTACTGCGTGTGTACTGCGGGTGTAACGTGTACTGTGTGTGTACTGCAGGTGTAACGTGTACTGTGTGTGTGTACTGCGGGTGTAACGTGTACTGTGTGTGTACTGCGGGTGTAACGTGTACTGTGTGTGTGTACTGCGGGTGTAACGTGTACTGCGTGTGTGTACTGCGGGTGTAACTTGTACTGCGTGTGTACTGCGGGTGTAACGTGTAGTGTGTGTGTACTGCGGGTGTAACGTGTACTGTGTGTGTACTGCGGGTGTAACGTGTACTGTGTGTGTGTACTGCGGGTGTAACTTGTACTGCGTGTGTACTGCGGGTGTAACGTGTACTGTGTGTGTACTGCGGGTGTAACTTGTACTGTGTGTGTACTGCGGGTGTAACTTGTACTGTGTGTGTACTGCGGGTGTAACGTGTACTGTGTGTGTGTACTGCGGGTGTAACGTGTACTGTGTGTGTACTGCGGGTGTAACTTGTACTGCGTGTGTACTGGGCAGGGGACGGGGCAAGAAGGGATGGATGATGATGGTTCACACGGTCGAATTTTCCGGATTACAAGACGCTCCAGGAAAATAAGACGCACACCCAACCAACACGTGTGTGGCCCCTGTCAATGGAGTCGCTACTGAGACCTGGTCAACAACAACAACAACAGCATCCGCCATTCACACACAAAGTAGCGGTGGCGTCGCAACGGCGCCTTGTGCCAGGCTAGGTGCACGTGAAGTGTCGGAAGGCTCACTGCTGGGCAAGGAGGTCGCGGGACAGACCCAGGTTGACTGAGACGACTGGAAGATGCACCAGCTGTGATCCACCACCACCACCCCCACCCACCCAGTGTGCCTACTCGCGGTAGTTTATGCGCCCGGCGCTCCGATAGTTGTTGTTCATAGTTCAATTTATTTTGGTATAGCCCTGAGAGCCATTCGGCTCTTGAATCGGGTGCAACCGCAACAAACAAAAAACATGAACAAGAAAACATCTTAAAGTGATTATGTGTGACTGTGCAAACAGAAAATACAGGAAAAAAACCATCAAAATATTCCTGAAATAGCACCGTACACCAACGCTGTGTGCAAAAATCCCAGTGGGATGCAAGTCAAACAACAACAACCACAAGACAACTAAGATTAAGGCCATCAGTCTAACTCCGTACTGCAATAAACAAAAACATGGCCAAAACAAAAAAAACGTTTTCGAAATCACCAAAATAAAAGCCATAAATGCAATGTAACAGTGATCATAGGGACTGTGACCGAATTTTTTACAATAAACTACATAAATAAATTATAACACCAAAATCTAGAGCCATATTTTAGGCCACTGAATAGCAGTGGCAGCTAGGGTTGTGAGCGTTACGTGTGGCCATGTTTTTGTTTATTGCAGTACGGAGTTAGACTGATGGCCTTAATCTTAGTTGTCTTGTGGTTGCTGTTGTTGTTGTTTGACTTGCATCCCACTGGGATTTTTGCACACAGCGTTGGTGTACGGTGCTATTTCAGGAATATTTAGATGTTTTTTTTTTTCCTGGATTTTCTGTTTGCACAGTCACACAAAGTCACTTTAAGATGTTTTCTTGTTCGTGTTTTTTTGTTTGTTGCGGTTGCACCCGATTCAAGAGCCGAATGGCTCACAGGGCTATACCAACATAAATGAACTATGAACTAATAGCTCACAGGGCTATGCCAAAATAAATGAACTATGAACTAATAGCTCACAGGGCTATACCAAAATAAATGAACTATGAACTAATAGCTCTCAGGGCTATACCAACATAAATGAACTATGTACTAATAGCTCACAGGGCTATACCAAATAAATGAACTATGAACTATGGAACTATGGCTCCACTTGCCCTCCGTTGTTGCTGTGGAGGGCGACTGCCTCCCAACTTGCCCAGCTGCGTCCTTCCCGAAAAACTCCACACAGGTCGAGGGGGGGGGGCGCTGGTGAGGGGGGGAGCTGGTGAGGGGCGGGGCTAGTGGAAAAGGCGGGATTTGGGGGGGGGGAGTCGGGCGGGGGGCGTTAACGATCAGTTTGAATGGACCAATGGGAACGCGAGGAGGTGCAGCGACCCAACGGGCACCGCCTTCTCCTCAAATGTATTTCGTCTCCGACCAATCGCAGCGCCGAGTTCGTCTCCCCGGGGCGAGTGACGACGCCGCGCCATCGTCCAATAGAAATTTAGTTTGGGGGAAAATTTGAACGGAGCGGCGAATTCGTTACCGGGGTTTGTGAGATCGGTGGAACCCGGTGAGCGTTACGTGGTGAGGGTGAGCGTTACGTGGTGAGGAGTTGTGGTGAGCGTTACGTGGTGAGGGTGAGCCTTACGTGGTGAGGAGTTCAGGTGAGCCTTACGTGGTGAGGAGTTGTGGTGAGCGTTACGTGGTGAGGAGTTGTGGTGAGCGTTACGTGGTGAGGGTGAGCGTTACGTGGTGAGGAGTTAGGGTGAGCGTTACGTGGTGAGGAGTTGTGGTGAGCGTTACGTGGTGAGGAGTTGTGGTGAGCGTTACGTGGTGAGGAGTTGTGGTGAGCGTTACGTGGTGAGGAGTTGTGGTGAGCGTTACGTGGTGAGGGTGAGCGTTACGTGGTGAGGGTGAGCGTTACGTGGTGAGGAGTTGTGGTGAGCGTTACGTGGTGAGGGTGAACGTTACGTGGTGAGGAGTTGTGGTGAGCGTTACGTGGTGAGTGGGTGAGCGTTACGTGGTGAGGGTGAGCCTTACGTGGTGAGGAGTTCAGGTGAGCCTTACGTGGTGAGGAGTTGTGGTGAGCGTTACGTGGTGAGGAGTGAGGGTGAGCGTTACGTGGTGAGGGTGAGCGTTACGTGGTGAGGGTGAGCCTTACGTGGTGAGTTGTGGTGAGCGTTACGTGGTGAGGAGTTGTGGTGAGCGTTACGTGGTGAGGAGTGAGGGTGAGCCTTACGTGGTGAGGGTGAGCGTTACGTGGTGAGGGTGAGCGTTACGTGGTGAGGAGTTAGGGTGAGCGTTACGTGGTGAGTGAGGGTGAGCGTTACGTGGTGAGGAGTTGGGGTGAGCGTTACGTGGTGAGTGGGTGAGCGTTACAAGGTGAGTGAGGGTGAGCGTTACAAGGTGAGTGAGGGTGAGCGTTACAAGGTGAGTGGGTGAGCGTTACAAGGTGAGTGAGGGTGAGCGTTACAAGGTGAGTGAGGGTGAGCGTTACGAGGTGAGTGGGTGAGCGTTACGAGGTGAGTGAGGGTGAGCGTTACGTGGTGAGGAGTTGGGGTGAGCGTTACAAGGTGAGTGGGTGAGCGTTACGAGGTGAGTGAGGGTGAGCGTTACGAGGTGAGTGAGGGTGAGCGTTACTAGGTGAGTGAGTGGTGAGCGTTACAAGGTGAGTGGTGAGCGTTACAAGGTGAGTGAGGGTGAGCGTTACAAGGTGAGGGTGAGCGTTACGAGGTGAGTGGGTGAGCGTTACAAGGTGAGTGGGTGAGTGTTACAAGGTGAGTGAGGGTGAGCGTTACAAGGTGAGGGTGAGCGTTACGAGGTGAGTGGGTGAGCGTTACAAGGTGAGTGAGGGTGAGCGTTACAAGGTGAGGGTGAGCGTTACAAGGTGAGTGAGGGTGAGCGTTACAAGGTGAGTGTGAGCGTTACAAGGTGAGTGGGTGAGCGTTACAAGGTGAGTGGGTGAGCGTTACAAGGTGAGGGTGAGCGTTACAAGGTGAGGGTGAGCGTTACGAGGTGAGTGGGTGAGCGTTACAAGGTGAGTGAGGGTGAGCGTTACAAGGTGAGTGAGGGTGAGCGTTACAAGGTGAGGGTGAGCGTTACGAGGTGAGTGGGTGAGCGTTACAAGGTGAGTGGGTGAGTGTTACAAGGTGAGTGAGGGTGAGCGTTACAAGGTGAGGGTGAGCGTTACGAGGTGAGTGGGTGAGCGTTACAAGGTGAGTGAGGGTGAGCGTTACAAGGTGAGGGTGAGCGTTACAAGGTGAGTGAGGGTGAGCGTTACAAGGTGAGTGTGAGCGTTACAAGGTGAGTGGGTGAGCGTTACAAGGTGAGTGGGTGAGCGTTACAAGGTGAGGGTGAGCGTTACAAGGTGAGGGTGAGCGTTACGAGGTGAGTGGGTGAGCGTTACAAGGTGAGTGAGGTTGAGCGTTACAAGGTGAGTGAGGGTGAGCGTTACAAGGTGAGTGGGTGAGCGTTACAAGGTGAGTGAGGGTGAGGAATACGGGTGAGGGTTCTGGGGTGAGTGTGGGGACTATTTGCGAGTTGCAGGATGAGTGCGTTACGCAATGAGGAGTGTTATTGGTGTGTGTGTCTCGAGTACTGTATTTACAATTGAGTGTATTGTCTTGGTGTGGTTTGGGACTGTTGTTGATGTCTTGGTGTGGTTTGGGACTGTTGTTGATGTCTTGGTGTGGTTTGGGACTGTTGTTGATGTCTTGGTGTGGTTTGGGACTGTTGTTGATGTCTTGGTGTGGTTTGGGACTGTTGTTGATGTCTTAGTGTGGTTTGGGACTGTTGTTGATGTCTTGGTGTGGTTTGAGACTGTTGTTGTTGTCTTGGTGTAGTCTGAGACTGTTGTTGATGTCTTGGTGTGGTTTGGGACTGTTGTTGATGTCTTGGTGTGGTTTGAGACTGTTGTTGATGTCTTGGTGTGGTTTGAGACTGTTGATGTCTTAGTGTGGTTTGGGACTGTTGTTGTTGTCTTGGTGTGGTTTGGGACAGTTGTTGATTTCTTGGTGTGGTTTGGGACTGTTGTTGTTGTCTTGGTGTAGTCTGAGACTGTTGTTGATGTCTTGGTGTGGTTTGGGACTGTTGTTGATGTCTTAGTGTGGTTTGGGACTGTTGTTGTTGTCTTGGTGTGGTTTGGGACTGTTGTTGATTTCTTGGTGTGGTTTGGGACTGTTGTTGATGTCTTGGTGTGGTTTGGGACTGTTGTTGATGTCTTGGTGTGGTTTGGGACTGTTGTTGATGTCTTGGTGTGGTCTGGGACTGTTGTTGATGTCTTGGTGTGGTTTGGGACTGTTGTTGATGTCTTGGTGTGGTTTGGGACTGTTGTTGATGTCTTGGTGTGGTTTGGGACTGTTGTTGATGTCTTGGGGTGGTTTGGGACTGTTGTTGATGTCTTGGTGTGGTTTGGGACTGTTGTTGATGTCTTAGTGTGGTTTGGGACTGTTGTTGATGTCTTGGTGTGGTTTGAGACTGTTGTTGTTGTCTTGGTGTAGTCTGAGACTGTTGTTGATGTCTTGGTGTGGTTTGGGACTGTTGTTGATGTCTTGGTGTGGTTTGAGACTGTTGTTGATGTCTTGGTGTGGTTTGAGACTGTTGTTGATGTCTTAGTGTGGTTTGGGACTGTTGTTGTTGTCTTGGTGTGGTTTGGGACAGTTGTTGATTTCTTGGTGTGGTTTGGGACTGTTGTTGTTGTCTTGGTGTAGTCTGAGACTGTTGTTGATGTCTTGGTGTGGTTTGGGACTGTTGTTGATGTCTTAGTGTGGTTTGGGACTGTTGTTGTTGTCTTGGTGTGGTTTGGGACTGTTGTTGATTTCTTGGTGTGGTTTGGGACTGTTGTTGATGTCTTGGTGTGGTTTGGGACTGTTGTTGATGTCTTGGTGTGGTTTGGGACTGTTGTTGATGTCTTGGTGTGGTCTGGGACTGTTGTTGTCTTGGTGTGGTTTGGGACTGTTGTTGTTGTGTTGGTGTAGTTTGGGACTGTTGTTGATGTCTTAGTGTGGTTTGGGACTCTTGATTTATTGGTGTAGTCTGGGACTGTTGTTAATGTCTTGGTGTGGTTTGGGACTGTTGTTGATGTCTTGGTGTGGTCTGGGACTGTTGTTGATGTCTTGGTGTAGTCTGGGACTGTTGTTGATGTCTTGGTGTGGTTTGGGACTGTTGTTGTTGTCTTGGTGTGGTTTGGGACTGTTGTTGATGTCTTGGTGTGGTCTGGGACTGTTGTTGTCTTGGTGTAGTTTGGGACTGTTGTTGTTGTCTTGGTGTAGTCTGGGACTGTTGTTGATGTCTTGGTGTGGTCTGGGACTGTTGTTGTTACTTGGTGTGATTTGGGACTGTTGTTGTCTTGGTGTGATTTGGGACTGTTGTTGTTGTCTTGGTGTGATTTGGGACTGTTGTTGTTGTCTTGGTGTGGTTTGGGACTGTTGTTGTTGTCTTGGTGTAGTCTGGGACTGTTGTTGATTTCTTGGTGTGGTTTGGGACTGTTGTTGATGTCTTAGTGTGGTTTGGGACTGTTGTTGATGTCTTGGTGTGGTTTGAGACTGTTGATGTCTTGGTGTGGTTTGAGACTGTTGATGTCTTGGTGTGGTTTGGGACTGTTGTTGATGTCTTAGTGTGGTTTGGGACTGTTGTTGATGTCTTGGTGTGGTCTGGGACTGTTGTTGATGTCTTGGTGTGGTTTGGGACTGTTGTTGATGTCTTGGTGTAGTCTGGGACTGTTGTTGATGTCTTGGTGTGGTCTGGGACTGTTGTTGATGTCTTGGTGTAGTCTGGGACTGTTGTTGATGTCTTGGTGTAGTCTGGGACTGTTGTTGATGTCTTGGTGTGGTCTGGGACTGTTGTTGATGTCTTGGTGTAGTCTGGGACTGTTGTTGATGTCTTGGTGTGGTTTGGGACTGTTGTTGTTGTCTTGGTGTGGTTTGGGACTGTTGTTGATGTCTTTGTGTGGTCTGGGAATGTTGTTGTCTTGGTGTGGTTTGGGACTGTTGTTGATGTCTTGGTGTAGTCTGGGACTGTTGTTGTCTTGGTGTGGTTTGGGACTGTTGTTGTTGTGTTGGTGTGGTTTGGGACTGTTGTTGATGTCTTGGTGTGGTTTGGGACTGTTGATGTCTTGGTGTGGTTTGGGACTGTTGTTGATGTCTTAGTGTGGTTTGGGACTCTTGATTTATTGGAGTAGTCTGGGACTGTTGTTAATGTCTTGGTGTGGTTTGGGACTGTTGTTGATGTCTTGGTGTGGTTTGGGACTGTTGTTGATGTCTTGGTGTAGTCTGGGACTGTTGTTGATGTCTTGGTGTGGTTTGGGACTGTTGTTAATGTCTTGGTGTGGTTTGGGACTGTTGTTGATGTCTTGGTGTGGTTTGGGACTGTTGTTGATGTCTTGGTGTAGTCTGGGACTGTTGTTAATGTCTTGGTGTGGTTTGGGACTGTTGTTGATGTCTTGGTGTGGTTTGGGACTGTTGTTGATGTCTTGGTGTAGTCTGGGACTGTTGTTGATGTCTTGGTGTGGTTTGGGACTGTTGTTGTCTTGGTGTGGTTTGGGACTTCTGTTGTTGTTGTTGTCTTGGTGTGGTTTGGGACTGTTGTTGATGTCTTGGTGTAGTCTGGGACTGTTGTTGTTGTGTTGGTGTAGTTTGGGACTGTTGTTGATGTCTTGGTGTGGTTTGGGACTGTTGTTGATGTCTTGGTGTAGTTTGGGACTGTTGTCATTGTTGTCTTGGCGTGGCTTTATACTGTTGTATTGTAATGTAACCTGCTGCCCCCTACTGGACTTCTGTAAAAAGAGCTTCTTAGCCCTTCGGATTCCTCAAGTCTAAAATTATCTTATTTGTATATTTTACAATATATCTGTTGCGTGTTAGTTTGTGTGTTTTATATTCTTCAATGTATTTATGTGTTTGAATACACTTGTGTGTTTATGCTGATCGATGTGTGTTCGCAGCGTCTGTGTGTGTGTGTATATACTGGTGTGTATGCACGGTCGTGTATCATGGTAGTATGTGTGGTAGTGTAGAGCGGTGGCGTAGCGGTGAGCCGACTGCGCTTCGATTGCAGTGACCCCGAGTTCGAATTCCCACTCACGGCCAACACACACAGTGACGATTGTCCATTTCGGTCCTGGTCCTCCCCTAGGTCGATTCGGCCTCAAATGAGTACCCGGTGAGATGTATAAACATCGCCACTAGGGAGACAAAGGCGGCCGGGCATGGTACTGGCCACCCACCCCGTCGTGTGCCGTGCCGGCCTTTATAGGTGCTTGCTAGCAGCACTTGCCCCTACAGTCTGTTGAGGCTATAACGGGGGTGGGGCGTGGGTTCTTTTTACACGTTTTTATTTAACTCACTGTTGTTGTATTCTCAAATCTTGTAACTCAATTTTAACTCACTTCCCAATGTGGCATCGACTGCAAACTTGGTATACTTATGTCATACTCATGACAATACTATATTCTTTCATACGAAATAAAAAAATATATATTTTTTAACATTCTTTTTTAAATGTTATGTTTCGGCTTGGCTCTAATTGCCCACGGTAAACTGACGTTGGCTGTAATTGGCCACGGTCCTTTACGTTGTGGCCAAGCTTCGGGGCCACTTCCTGGAGTCGTGGAGTTTTGCCATTAGTTACTTTTCATAAAAGCGTGTTTTTAAAAAAAAGTTTAGTAAAAAAAATATTACTTTGTTGTTGTTGTTAGGCTCGGCTGCAGTGATCATGATGGCGAGTGGGCGCGGCACGGGCAGCGGTGGCGTCCAGGCGCACGCCGGGCTGCACAAGAAGCTGGGTCCGGTAGCCGAGCTCCGCGTGCGCCTGGCGCAGGAGAAGGCGGCGGGGAGGCGCGAACGACGCGCCACCATCCTGTTGGAGCGTCGCCGGGGGTACTCCCCGCTTGCCGAGAGGAGCGAGAACGTGGCCCCCCAAGGAGAGAGCGGCAAGCCTACAGGTAGTACCCCCCACCCCCCCCACCACGCAGTCTCTCGCCACGGAGTTCCCTCGCCAACTTGTTTTGTGGAAATTTTGAAAATTGATTGTAAATTACTCGATTGGGATGACTCGCAGCAGCAGCCGCAGCAGCATTGGCATTATCAGGGTGGAGAGTGTTGTCTGTCTGGTGCCCTGAGGGCGTGTGTTCTCGCGTACGTCGTGATGGGATTATCTGTTGGGAAGCAGGCTATCTATCGGTTGGTTGTGTGCTGAATCAGACCTCCCGGCCACTATGTATTTTGAGGCGCTCAGAGCAGGATATGTAGGGGCACTGATTCTCTCAGGCCGGGTGATGCGAGGACAAGACCACGACTCGTGCTCGCGTACACACTGAACACACTCGCACGCACACCCGTGTGTGTGTGTGTGTTGTGGGGAGCGGTGGCGCAGCGGTTGGCACGCTGCTCTACGAACCCGGCAACGCGAATTTGATTCCCGCTCACGGCCAACACCGGTGATGTCATTCTAGATTTGAAGCTTTCGTGACTGCAAGGATCCATGCTCTTTGGTTCTTTCGGTAAAGACGCGTACGTGATAAGTCACGTACGTGACTTTACCGAAAGAACCAAAGAGTATAAACAACAGTGATGATTATCTGAACCGGTCATGGGCCTCCCCTAAGTCGACTCGGCCTCAAATTAGTACCTTGTGCGGCGTGTAAGCATCACTACTTGGGAGACAAAGGCGGCCGGGCGCGGTGTTGGCCACCCAACCCCTCATGTGCCGTGCCGGCCTTCATAGGTGATCGCTAACAGCAACTTGCCCCAACAGTCTGGTAAGGCTATACAGGGGATCTTTGTAGCAGAGCATTGGCACAGTGGTTAGCCGTCCTGCTGCACTACGAAATCCAGTGATCCGAGTTTGATTCCAGGCCATGTTCATCAGCGACAGCAGGTGATTGTGGCAAATTGTGCCTTGCGACAACAGTGATGTTCTGAACTCGTCCCCCCGGTCTTTTGGAGGCCGGCTCGGACTCTTGGGGTGTGATTTGTAACCACGTCGCCACTCGACCAGCACACGACCCTCGCCTTTGTGAACCACGGGCGCCTTCGCGACTGCCTTGCGCGAAGGAGAAGTGACGGGTTGCCCGTCGACGGGCGCTTTGCTTTCCTGGCGGTCAGCCGTGGCTGCTCGATGTGGAGAGCGCACCGGCCGCCCGACGTGCGGGTGTCCGCCACGCGGGCGGCGAATCTCCTCCGTGCGTCTCCTTTGCGCTTTTCCGCGTGATGAGCTGCTTTTGTTGAGCCATCGTTTGTGATGGCCAGGTTCCGTCTGAAAAAATAAGTTAACAGCACAGTGAGCTTTACCCAGTAGGATAAACAAACAAAAAGTTTCGTTTTTATGCGTATATTTTTAAGGGATTTCTTTACCTTGCCAATACTTTGCACTTCTGATTTTGTATTGTTTTGTTGTTGTAACGTTCTGTGACCCCATGCCCCTACTGGACATGTGTGAGAGAAAAAAAAGAGCTTAATAGCTCATCTGATTCCTCGTGCGCAAATAAATGTCCTGATTCTGCGTGCGTGGGGACAGGCGAGCAGAGCTCCCAGCTCCTGCGCAGGGAGCGGCTCGCCAAGTACAAGGAGGAGAAGGAGCTGCGCAGGCGCCAGGCGCAGAGCAAGAAGACGTTTGTGGTGAAGCACGTGAAGGCGAGCCCGCCGCGCTACCTGCTCTCCCTGCCGCCCGGGGTCACCATCGCCGCGGCGACGCGGCCGCCGGCCGTCGCCAAAACGACGACTACGGCGGCGGTAAGGGCCGCGAATGGCGGAGATGCGGCGCCGCGTGATCCATGCGGCAGAGCTGAGCCGAAGTAAACAATTTTTATTTTACCAGGTAAGGCCCACTGAGCTATCGAGTTTTTTTTTTTTCAGAAGCATCCTGGCACAAATGATCGCTCGACATTGTGGCTTAAAACATGGGAATTAATAGCGACCGAACACACGACCTCCTGCATACCAGGTGGTATAGGTGATATCTCGCTACCGCGGCGAGGTGATCGGTTTGATCCGTGCGATGGAGCCGAGATGTCGAGGGGATCGAGTCGACTCATCGATTGAAATTACAATCCGACTCGCGCTTTTGCGGTCGATTATTTGGGCCTCTTGAAAAATATCAGCCGCCACCTCGCCTCGACGTCCTGCCTCCTGAAGGTGGGAACCCATCCCCCTGCCCCCCATGCAAGTCACGTGGCGCTGTTGATAATGCCGATGGCGCCACCAAGCCCGGCCAATGACCTCCCGTCCAGCGGCCCACGTGTTAACCGATGGGTTGTGTAATCGAACCGATAATCCGCAGAGAAATCGATTACTTAACGAGTTGAACAGCCCGGCTCTGCTATTTATGTGTATGGCCAGAGGAACACCTCGGGAGGTCTTAAGAGGAAGTCTGTCCACTCCCCCAGACATTTTCAGACTGCCATTGTGTGGTATAGACCATTTGTGAGAATTTTGACGAGTGCATGTTTGTAAATAAATTATCCTTACGTTTTCTTTTTCATTCGTTTGTCATTTTAGATACATTTGAATGTTTTCCATATTGACCACAGCGCGTACACAAGTGTGGTGTAATGGGTTTTTCATCTGAAATAAATACACGGGAAAAACCTATTTCTGTTAGACTCGGCTGGAACTTAATTTGCCCCCCCTCTGAAAGTTTCAGTCGAGTGACCCACTGTGTGTACAGCCTCTACTCTTGTAATTTCGCTACTGGATGAAGGCTTCTGCCCACGCCGCGTCGGTCATGGAGGGGTTGGTGAAGGTGACGTAGAAGTATAGGAGTACTGTACAGCAATTGGATTTGCTGCACTGCCGTTTACACCCCACCGCATAGCCTCGCTGCCCTGTGGGGCAACCTGTTGGTCAGAATCATAATCTTTATTTAGATTGGAGGCATCCGATGAGCTAAGAAGCTCTTTTTCACAGATGTCCCCTTTAAAGCACAATCCAGGCTTAACCCTGCTTAATCAGGTGCATGAGGGGCACCGCAGTGGCAAAATGTTAACCACCTTGCCTGCTGTAAGGAGGGCATGGCTTCGAGCCCGACCCTGACGCCTGTTGTATATTGGGAGTTTGCGTGTCTCCCCGTGGTCGCTGGGATTTTTATCCGGGTCCTCCGGTTTTTCCTTCCACGTTTAGAATCAACGTTCGTTTAGAGCAGGGGTCGGGAACCTATGGCTCGCGAGCCAGATGTGGCTCTTTTGATGATTGCATATGGCTTGCAGATAAAACAAAATATTCTCACTTGTTTTAATCCATCCATCGATTTTTCACTGCGCATGTCCTGTTCAGGGCTGCAGGAGCAATTGTCCATTATTTTAATTGGATGATACTGGCCTACGTTTGCCGTTGCTGGGTAAAACAGGTAAACGCCCCCTTTTGAATCAGTCTGAGACTGCGTCTGCTCGGTCATTAGCTCAAAGCTAACCCTTCGACGAAGAAGATGGCGAAAAGAAAAAAAGACGACGAGTATCGTACATTTCAGGACGAATGGACCGAAGAATTCGCCTTTGTGGAGAGAGCGGGTTCTGCGGTGTGTCTAATTTGCAATGACAAAATTACATCGTTGAAACGGTCGAATGTAAAGCGGCACTTCGACACGCGCCACGCTACCTTTGCATCAAAATACCCTGCGGGAGACAGCAGAAAGAAAGCGTGCCAAGAGCTTCTGAGCAGGGTGCAAGCTAGCCAGCAGCAACTCCGCGTATGGACCCGGCAAGGTGACTATAATTCGGCTAGCTTTGCTGGTTCTTTAGCAATAGTGAGGAACGGAAAAACCATTCACAGATGGCGAGTATGCTAAAACGTTCATGCTGGATGTAGCCAATGAACTTTTTGATGATCTTCCGAACAAAGACAAGATAATCAAACGGATACAAGACATGCCTCTGTCGGCAAGAACTGTTCATGATCGTACCATCGTGATGGCAAACAAAGTGGAGGAAACGCAAGTGAAGGACATAAATGCAGCGCCGTTCTTTTCTCTGGCTTTGGATGAGTCAACAGACGTGAGCCATTTGTCGCAGTTCAGCGTGATTGCAAGATATGCTGTTGGTGACACACTGCGCGAAGAAAGTCTTGCTGTTCTGCCATTAAAAGGGTCCACAAGAGGTGAGGATTTATTCAAGTCTTTCATGGAGTTTGCTCAAGAAAAAAGTCTACCTATGGATAAACTTCTCTCAGTGTGTACTGATGGTGCTCCGTGTATGGTGGGGAAAAACAAAGGATTTGTGGCGCTTCTCCGTGAACATGAAAATAGACCCATCCTAAGTTTCCATTGCATTATACACCAGGAGGCACTTTGTGCTCAGATGTGTGACAGGCAGTTTGGCGAAGTGATGTCGCTGGTCATTCGTGTGATCAACTTTATTGTTGCCCGAGCCTTAAATGATCGCCAGTTTAAAACACTGCTGGATGAAGTTGTAAATAACTATCCTGGTCTGCTTTTGCACAGCAATGTGCGTTGGTTGTCAAGAGGGAAGGTGCTTAGCCGTTTTGCGGCTTGCCTGAACGAAATCCGGACTTTCCTTGAAATGAAAGGCGTCGGGCATCCTGAGCTAGCCGACACCGAGTGGCTCCTCAAGTTTTACTATCTCGTAGATCTGACTGAACATCTGAACCAGCTCAACGTGAAAATGCAAGGCATTGGAAATACAGTGTTATCCCTTCAACAAGCTGTATTTGCTTTTGAAAACAAGCTGGAGCTTTTCATCACGGATCTTGAAACAGGTCGTTTACTACATTTTGAAAAACTGAGCCAATTTAAAGATGCATGCACAGCAAGTGAGCCCATTCAAAACCTTGATCTCCACCAGCTAGCTGGCTGCACATCCAGTCTCCTACAGTCCTTCAAAGCACGCTTTGGAGAATTTCGTGAGCACACTCGTCTTTTTAAGTTCATCACCCATCCAAACGAGTGTTCACTGAACACAGCCGACCTGAATTACATCCCTGGTGTCTCCGTCAGAGATTTTGAAGCAGAAGTGGCTGACCTGAAGGCCTCAGACATGTGGGTGAATAAGTTCAAGTCACTGAATGAAGATTTGGAAAGAATCACACGACAGAAAGCGGAGTTGGCGAGCAAGCACATGTGGACAGAAATGAAAAAACTCCAACCCGAAGACCAGCTGATTCTCAAAACTTGGAACGCGCTTCCTGTCACATACCACACACTGCAGCGTGTGAGTATTGCTGTATTGACCATGTTTGGATCTACGTATGCATGTGAGCAGTCATTCTCACATCTTAAAAACATCAAGTCCAACCTACGATCACGTTTAACGGATGAAAGCCTCAACGCTTGCATGAAGCTTAACCTCACCAAGTACCAACCCGACTACAAAGACATCAGCAAATCCATGCAGCACCAGAAGTCGCATTAATGGTGAGTGTTATAACAACATTATTTAAAAGAATAAATTCAGAGGCTTATTATACTGACATTTAGTTGAATTCACTTTTAAAATATATTATATGGCTCTCACTGAAATAAATTTCCAAATTTTTTGCTTTCATGGCTCTCTTAGTCAAAAAGGTTCCCGACCCCTGGTTTAGAGTATTTGGCTGAAATAAATTTCCACGCGATAAGCCACTTCGTTGGGCTATCGTTTGTGGTCAGATCAAATAAAAAATAGTTTTTATTGTTTTGTTTGACCCTGCCTACGTGTGTGAGGGTCTGCAATTTAACCTTATGGTGGGACCCCGGGGTCCCATAAGCCCCCGGCTCTCGCATAAACTGCGTTGCGACGTCATTTTACGTCTGTTGAAGGCGAACCATATGGCAATCTATTCCTCTCGGCGAGCTCTACACGATGCGCTAATCAAAGTTTCAAAGTTTTGTTTATGACTACGGCAATTTTGGTAACGACGGGTGCTTGGTGAAGAACGAGGAGAGGATTGGTTTCTGGTGGGTCGCGGCGTTTATGTGCGCGGTGGGACGGAGTCGCCAAAAATAAATAAATTAATGACGATTTATCCTTTCGTTTATTCGGGACCCCGGGGTCCCGCCATAAGGTTCAATTGTCCCCGTGTGCGTGTATGTGTGTGTTATCCTGCCTATGCGAATTACAGCCTGTGTGTGTTAAAGCAAGTGTGTGTGGACAGCGGGAGTGTAGCAGTTAGCGCGCTGCGCTACGAACCGGAGTTTGATTCCCGCTCACGGCCAACACCAGTGACGATTGTCTGAACTGATCATGGGCCTCCTCTAGGTCGACTCGGCCTCAAATGAGTACCTGGCGCAGTGTGTAAACATAACCACTGGGGAGACCAAGGCGTCTGGGCGTGGTGCTGGCCATCCACCCCCTCGTGTGCTGTGCCGGCCTTCATAGGCGCTCGCTAACAGCACTTGCCCCAACATTCTGTTCAGGCTATATGGGGAATCTTTGTCTTTGTGAAAGCAAGAGTGTGATTGTCCCTGCATTTCTGTGTATCCGCGAGAAGTGGCACGAGTGCTTGCCCGCTCGCGCGTGCGTATGGATTTTATCCGCTGTGATCCACGGCCGCCCTCTGGAACATCATCCAGTGATCCTCTCCTCTCGAGTGCCTGGAGCAGGAGAAACGAAAGCGCGAGCATTGTCTGCCTCTCGCAGCGCGGTGCTCATTATCACATTAAGGCACTGCCATTAAAGAGGTAATGCGGGCAGAAAACACAGGGGCGCGCTCGCGGTGAGCACCTCAAGTGCCTTGAAAGAGATCCGCTAATTGGTTATAATGTCTGTTGGAGACTTAGTGGGGTTTTTTTTTATTAATTGTTCAAGTTGCTGTTATGCACGTCCTCTTTGTCAGCTGCAATGTATGCGGCCGTGTTATAGATTAGACTGTCCTCTTGTGGCCATTGTTTGAGTGACGCTGATGTTTTGAGTCAATACCATTAACAAATTTACCCAGAAGACCTGTAAATGAAAGTGGAACGTCGATCTGGAGCTACGGTTTCCTGCATTGTAATAAAGCACTGAAGGGAAAGGGCATAAATTACCATTCATCACGAGAACAATTTAAAGTCGCCCATGGTGGTGTTAAAGTGTGAAGGACTGGAGGGAGGAGCCTGCAGATGTGTGAGTGTGAGAGAGCTGTTGTGTGTCGTCGGGGAGCGGTAGTGCAACGGTCTGTGCGCTGCCCTACGATCCCAGCGACCCGAGTTCGATTCCCGCTCACAGACACCGACAGTGTTGATTATCTGAACCGGTCCTGGGGCTCCGCAAGGTCGACCCGGCCTCAGATGAGTACCTGGTGCGGTGTATGAACATTGTCACTCGGGAGGTAGAGGGGGTCGGGCGTGGTGCTCGCCACCCACCCCCTCGTGTGCCGTGTTGGCCTTCATAGCTGCTATTCGCTAATAGCCCTTGCCCCAACCTTCTGTTAAGGCTATACGGAAGATCTGTTTTTGTGTGTGTCAGGTGTGTGTGTGTGTGTCCAATACAAAGATCCGCCGTATAGCCATGCACGGCGTCGGGACAAGTGTTGTTCACGAGTACCTGTTAAGGCCGGCACGGGACGCAAACGGAGGTCGTGTGGACCCCACCGCACCTTTGTCTCCACATTGTCGACGTTTCCGCACAGCACCAGGCTGAGTTGACATAGAGGTTGCCAAGGAGCGGTTCAGAGATTCGTCACTGATGTTGGCCGTGCTGAGCCCTGTGCGCTCGCCACAACGCTGCCGCTGTTTGTGTAAGGGTAAGCAGGCAGTGGTGATTTCCTGCAACCGTTCTGTGCCTCACCGAGGTCGACTCCGCATTAAATCATTCACCCACTGCGATGCGTAAACATCGGCACCGGGGAGATGAAGGCGGCTGGGCGATCCTGGCCGTACAATCCCCCTCTTGAGCCGTGCACCCCTCGAGAGGTGCGAAAGAAGTGCCACATACATGGTGGGGGGGGGGGGGGGAAGGGAATCTTTGTCACTGAAAAGTTAAAATGTTTTAACTATTTTTATTTTTACCAGGTAAGGCCCACCGAGCTATGCAGCTCGTTTTTCAGAAGCGACCTGGCCACAAATGATAGCTCGGTGAAGTAGCTTATTGCGAGGACTCGGAGAAAAATCGACGCAATCACGGGGAGAGGGACATACAAATTCCAAATATACAGGCGTCTAGGTCGGGATGGAACCCACCACCTGTATAGCAGACAAGGTCGTTAACATCTCGCCACTGTGACACCCTATGTGAATATGTTCGTGTGTGCATGCCTGAGATTTTAAGAGCATTTATATGGGCGAGTGTGTTTTAATGTGAGCGTCTGAGGCTAAACAGGCGATATTTGCCTGTTTGTCAAGGAGATTGTGAATATTTGAGGGCTTGTGCACGTACGTTTAAGTGTGTGAAAGAGTGATTGCGTGTGTGAGCGAGTGTGTGTGAATGCGATTGTGAGCGAGGGAGTGTGAGCGTGCAAGCGTGCGAGCAGATGTGCACGTTTCAGTTTTCCCTAACTGAAGGAGATTGTGAGCGACTGGCCGTCACTTGCCGCGGCGTTTATAGTGAGCGGTGCGATGGGGCGACACGGCACAGCTCTTGACACGGCTGCTTACCGGAGCTCATCCTGCTTTATTACTCCGCTCCCCTGTCACCCATCGCCTCCCACTCAGCCAATGCATTCTGGCCACCGCTGTCGGGAGTCTTTGTGTGTGTGTGTGTCCGCGCGTGTGTGTCCGAGTCGCCCTGGGCGGCCGCGATCTCACTAACGCGCGCCTCTCGCCGCTGTCTTGCCATGTGTTGCGTGCGGGGGGCCCCCTTTGCTTGCAGAAGCGGACCCTGGTGAGCGCCGTCGTCCCCCGTATCACGACCCGCTCCATGGCACGGCAGCAGGTGCCGGGGATGGCGGGCGCACGGCACGAGCCGGTGAGTCCTAGCGCGTGCGGGCACTCGACGCGGCACGTGTGGTTGTAAGCCGCTCCCCCCTCCCCAGCTTGTGGTGGTGGGGGGGGGGGGAAGAGACATGTGTAATAAGCGCAGCAGACGATGGCGGTGGCGCAGTGTCGTACGTCTAAAGGTGAAATTTTAAATTAACCTTACAAGGAGGCGCTCGCTTTGATGCGTGGAATCTGTGTCCATGTGGCCGGGGGGGGGGGGGCTGGTTTGTTTTTTGTTTTTTACCAAGTGGAGTTGAACTCGACCCAGCCTTGGCTTGCCAGCGCCCCTCTCCCTCCCTGTGCGAGCGTTTATTTGGTGGCGTGTGCTGGGCACAGCCCCGTGAAATGGGCTGCCTCCATGCTCAGACGTGTGATGCATTGCGGGTGCGCGGGCTCTGGCCCTGTGGGGGGCGGCGGTGTGTGGAGGGGGTGGGTGAGAGAGAGGATTTGGGGGGACGGGGGGGGGGGAATGGCTGGTGTAGGGGAGCGATTGCACAGGGTGGAGCGAGGAGGATTCCTGCGGGTCCACGTCCGCCGCGGTTGACGTCGTGATTTAGACTCCCCGTAATTGGGGCTTTCAGAGGTGCAAATAATCTGAAATGTGCAAATTGCTCGAAGCTAATTACCAATTATTTTGTGATTTCTACTGCGACTTCAATAATAACGTGCAATATGTGAAACTCTCTAAACGGAACTATTTGTTTTAATTTGTGAGTTAATATTAATAGTGTGGCGCCGCTCGAGGCTCGGCGCGTGGCGCAGTCTCGCGACGGACGGCGTCGCTCACCAAGCGGCGGCGAAAGGCGCCTCGTTGTTGCCTGCATGTGACGCGTGCAGGTGTGCGCGCTTGCGCGTGTCTGTGAACAGCCAGCACCATTGGCCATTATCTGACGCGGTCATGGGCCTCCCCTAGGTCCACTCAGCCTTTAAAACGAGTACCTGGTGCAGTGTGTAAAAACATCACCACTTGGGGGAGGCAAAGGCGGCCGGGCGTGGTTGCTGACCACACCCCCCACCCCCTTCGTGTGCCGTGCCGGTCTTCACAGGTGCTGCTTGCTTAACAGCACTTGCCCCCCAACAGTCTGTCAAGGCTCTAGAGGGGAATCTTTGTCTTTTTGTGTGAACAGGCTCCGAGGACGGTTGCTGCCCAAACTAGAAAAGCTGCCCCCAGGGTGGCCGCGCCAGCCCAGGAGGCCAAGCCGGATGGCAAGGGCCGAACCGTCGCTGGTGCCGGTGAGTGTCCATTGTGGAGGCCCGGGACCACCACGCCAAACAACCGTTACAAAATGACAAAGTCAAAGAAAGTAATCTTCAGCCGTTTCACACGAAACTAAACTCCTTACATTTTTGCCAGGAAAGGCGCACAAATTATAGCCCGATGAAGTGGCTTATCACGTGCAAATTTATAGCAGCTATAGATGTTGATTCTAAATGTGGAGGGAAAAACCGGAGGACCCGCAGAAAAATCCACGCAACCACGGGGAGAACATGCAAACTCTAAATATACAGCAGTCGTCAGGGTTGGGATTGAACCCACGACCTCCGATATACCAGGCAAGGTAGAAAACATCTTGCCACCGCAGCACCCCCACAGCTGGGTTAGGCCGAATTCAGGAGCCCTCGTAAGCGTGGAGAGATTCAAAGAAGATGAATCCTTGCAGTCACGAAAGCTTTAAATCGTGGAGAGATTCTCGCTCGCCAAAATCTGGTCGATAAAAACACCTGTGCCTTTGTGCATGCCGGCGTGCATTTGTGTGTACTCGGGCGTGCACCTTCGTGCACGTGTGAACACGTGCGGGGTACGCACATGCGTGCGCGTCCATTTCAGGAGTGACTGGCCGTGTGACTCGCTTGAGAGCGAAGGAGGAGACAGTGGCAGCGGTGGCGGCGCCGGCTTCTTTCGCCGCCCGACGCGGTAAGCCAGAGTCCGCGTCGCGCACGCGCCATCGATTTTTCAACGGCGGTCGAAGCAGATGCCGGGTTTGAATTTAGCACCGGAGGGGAGGCGGAGGAGGGTCAATGTGACACTCCCTTGGGCACACGTGGGTGATGGCTGTCTGTCTATTGCTCCTCTTGGAATACGTCCCTCGCTTCTCCTCCTCCTCCTCCTGTGTGTCTGCAGGGACACGGATCGCCATCAAGCTGGACGAGGTTCTTCACGAGGTTAGTCCGGCCGTCGCATCGCATTCGTCAAGCTGCAGTTGCAGCTCGCCGTCGAGGCTGTTTGCGCAAAATCAATGGTTCAATTCCTGAGATGTGCGGCAATCACTGCGGTAGGAGCAACCGAAGCGCGTGTGCGCGTGCGTGTGTACCCCCGTGCCGTGCAAGTGGCACGGAAGATGCTGGGACGTGGTTCGTACGAGTAAGCTGCTCCGTGTGGAGCGTCCTGGTCTAAATATGCACGTTAACTGTCGTCTATTTTTATGACGGTTAAAACTATAAACAAATATTTTTCTACTTTACCAGGTAAGGCTCACTGAGCTGCTGTATAGCTCTTTTTCAGAAGGGACCTGACTATCACAAATGATAGCTCAATAAAGTGGCGTATTGCGTGTAAATGTATAAGCAGCAAAATACTCTGAAACGCTTGTTTCTAAATGCGGAGGGAAACACCGGTGGAGCCGGAGAAAAATGTACTCGCCCGTGGGGAGATCATGTAAACTCCAACTGTACAGCAGGCGTCAGGGTCAGGATCGAACCCACGAACCTCCTGTATACCAGGCGAGGTAGTTTGCATGTTCTCCCCGTTGGTCGCGTGGATTTTAGCTCAGTTGGCCTTACCTGGTAAAATAAAAATTGTTCATAGTTTTACTTTATGGCATGCCTCTAGCCTGCCCACCCATGTTACTTCACCAAGGCTTAAGGTGCCATTGCATTTGGTTCGGTGTGCGTTGAATGCCCCTGCGTGCACCCAGTCTCACGATGTAATTTCTTTATCCAGCAAAGCCTTGCTCGGTCTCGAGGCTCCCTGACCTTGAACAAGGATCTTTGGCCATTTCCTTATTTTGAATTGGTGCTTTGTATCTGAGAGGAAGCCAAAGTGCCCAGGTGAAAGCCGCCATGCGTACAGGGACAAACTACTACAAAGTGCACACGCGTGTGGGTTTCGCGAATACCACCGTGCTGAAAGGTGCACACGTGTGTGTGTGTGTGGGTTCGCGAATACCACTTAAATCATCCCGGCACATCTCTGCGCGTTTGCAGCACCAAAGTTTTGGAACAACCGCGCTTTCCTCCCCTTTGACCATCGTAAATCTTCCTTTGAGAAAATATTCTCAAGCAGAAGATTAGCGCGCTGGATACAACCACATTTGTTAATGTGCTTTGTAACGTTGATCCTTACCCGCGTGTCGTTAGTTACATTTTAGTGTGCAATTTTACTGAGGGACTGTGTTGTTATCTGGGACTGTTGTTTTTTTTCTTCCTTGCCCAAGCTTGCATTTAGTGTTGAAAAATCGGCAGTAATTGGTATATATTTTTTTCAATTTGTGCTCATATACTTTGTCTATGTTGTGTATTTGTTTTGAGTAAGTTGCTTAACTTTCCTTTCCTTTGCGCTCAAATCGTGTTTTTGTAATGATTCTTGTTGGCATTTTCTGACCCGCCCCGACTGGACATGTGTGGAAAAAGAGCTTCATGGTACATTGAATTCCTCCAGGATAAATAAATATTCCGATTTGTATATTTTACGTATACATGTTGCGTGCTAGTTTGTGCATTGTGTGTTTTATACCCTTCAGTGTATTTATGCGTATGAATACACGGTGTGTATTTATGCGTTTGAATACATGGTGTGTATTTATGCCGATTTTAGATGTGTTTTCAAAGCGTGTGTCTACATATTGGGCAGTTGGTGGCAGTCGCCCTCCAATAACAGTCGAGGGCAGAGGAGCTACGCTCAGATCAGTGAGCGGAGCGCCGGGCGGCTAATATTCAGCAAGTTGGCACAGTAGGGGGGCACAGCTGGGTGCATCTGCCAGTCATCTCAGTCAGCCCACCCATGGCACCTGGGTCTGTCCCGTGATCTGCCAGCAGTGAGTCTCCGATAATTCACTTGGTCTCAAAGTGCACCTGGCCTGGCACAGGTGCCGTGGTGACGTCACCGTTATTTAGTGGCGAATGGCGGGTGTTCGTATTGATATGCACGGTTGCATGGTAGCGTAGCGTGGAGCGGCGGTGTAACGGATTAGCGCTCTGCGCTACGAACCCGGCGGGCACGGCGTGACACGCTGGCGAGTGCCACTGCGGTGGGATGGCTCGCGGGTATCGCGTGTGACCCCCCCCCCCCCAACCCGTGCCGTGCCCATGCCCTGCAGGAGCAAGCCGGTGAGGAGGAGTCGGGGGACTGCAGCAAGGCCGGAGAGGAAGCCCAGCTTCAGCCGGGGTTGGCACGCTCCCCCGAGGCGGCCCTCGCAAGTAGCCGGCGCCAGGGCATGGCGCGCCGCTCCTTCGCCCCCGTCGGCTTCGTGTTCCAAGGCCTGCCGGGCATGACGACGATGATGATGCCGCCTCCTCGCCTGCAGCCACTCAGCCCCTGCTCCACCTCCTCCTTCCTGGCGCCGGCGAAAATCGCCGTTTCGCTGAGCTTCAGCCCTATGCAGCACGGCCCCCCGCCGCCGCGGCGACCCGCCACGCCGATCGGTGAGACGACGAGACGTGCGCGTGTACGCAGGTGTGTGCACGCGCTCGTACGTACGGCCGCGCCCGCACGCGGGCCCGCACGCGTCGTGCCCGTCGGTGGGATTAGACGCGCGCACGTGGGTGTGTACGTACGCACGGTGGTCGGTGAGGTGAGACGAACGTGCGTAAGAACACGCTTGCGTTTACACACGCGTACGCACCTTCCAGATCGTGACCGTGTACGCACGCACACACACGCTCGTACTACGGTACACACGTACGTACGTACGTGCCTCAGTGGGTGGCTTTTAAGTCCTGATCTACACGCAAGTGTGACGTGTGCACCACGTACCGTAGGCACGTATGTGTGTGTGTAGAACTTATTTCGCGCCGTACATAGCCAACCTCACCAAATCGGAGGTGCGGGGGGGAAAGACAACAAACCAAACACAAAACAAGGTTCCCAACCCGCTCCACCCCTCCCCCAGCGAGCCAATGTTCCGTGAATTGTCACTTCCTGTGGGCACCGTTCGCCCAGAGAATCGATTCTTCTCTGGTTTCGGCTGTCCCCTCTCTCTCTGTCGCGATTGTGCGTTGTCCGCTGGCTGCCGTCGCCCGAACCGCAACCACGAGCGCAGGGGGAGTTGATTGTTGTTGTTACGTGCACGATTGAGCGCGTGGATTGAGAATTGGTTTAATCGTCGGTACGTGTCGTGCGCTCGCGCGCACACGCTTAAGTGCACACTGTCGACAGGCGCACGTTGATACGTACGTACGCAATGCGTGTGTGCACCCTCTGTTGGGATGTTCACGCACACAGAGACCCCGGTCAAACTTCGAATTCCCGTCCCTTCACACAGTCATCCGTGCTGTCAAATCTCTGCCGCCTATTCAAGCGCATGCTCAAACACCTTTCTTTTTCCCCCTCTGCCTTTGACAGACTGCCTTTCTCTCTTTCTCTCTATGAACTAGATATCCCCACTGTTTCTGCACAGCGTCTTGAGACGCCTGTCGCATTTAGACGCTGCTATATAAACCCAAATTGTTCTGCTGTCGTGCGTGCGCTCTGTTGACGTGCCATCAGTTGAGAGACGCACGGACGTAAACGCACCCTTCGTCGAGACGCGCACGGACACGTGGGAGCGCTGCCGTGCGTTCCGTGAGCGTGCGCCGTGGGCGGGGGGGGTGTGGTCACGCGTCGGCTGCTAAGATTCACTCGAGCTGCTTCTGGTGTGGGAGCTGATGCGAATGCTCGTGCAGATGAACGCAAGAGCGCATGCTGCAGACGCTCGTGCATGCACGAGTGTGCACTCTGCCGACCACCGTGCCCACACACACACACGCGTGCACGAGTGTGCAGTCTCGAGGCTCCCGCGCGCCGTGTGCCTGGCCCATGCATCAGGAGAGTAAATGTTTACACAGGCGCACACTGTTGCTGGTTACAAGCGTCGGCTCAATCCCCCACGGACACGGCTGTGCATATTTTAACACTTGTTTATTGGTTTTCAACCCAAATGTGTTCAAATCTCGAGCTCACGAAGTGCTGACAGTAAACAGAAACACTTCCCTGCTGGAAGAAGAGCAGTTGAAGGCAGTAAGTTTCGTTGATGTACGGTTTTATTAATCTCATCAGGCTTATGAAAGGCATAAAAACCCCCAAGTGAGCCTCTGCGATTAAATTATCCACCTTGATTTGGTTAGCGCCTCGTGCCGCCGCGTGCCCTCCATGAAAACCTGCGAGCTTCGTCGTCGTGATGCGTAATGAGCAAATTGTAATGATTGTATGAAGCGCTCCCGGGGGGGGTGGAGGGGTGGTGGGGAGTCCCGCATCAACAGCTGTTGCCTTAGCGCTCGCTCTGTAAATACGGCGGCGGCGGCGGCGCGGCGGGGGACCGTGGCGGCGCCCTCGGCCCCCCCATCCCCAGGAGATGTCGCGGCTTCGCGGTGGGCGCCGCTAACCGGGTTATGTCTCCGACGCCGCGCTGTGATTTCCCGCGATCCTCGTTCCCTGCCCCCACCCCGTGTGTGTGTGTGTGTGCGTGCGTGTGTAACGTGCGCGCGTTAGCGTGCATGTGCGCGTTAGCGTGCGCTTGTCTCCAAAGTCTCTGTTAAGGCTATAAGGGAGTGGGGGCGCGGCCCCTTTGTTTGCGTGCAGCGTTGGCGGTCAAAGCGGCGGAGGAGGCGTGCGCACCACCGGGACCGGAGGGGCAGGATGGGGCCCCCGGAGTGGGGGACGACACGGGGGCGCCCTGTTCCACCGGGGGCACCGGGCCCCTCGCCCACGCAGGGGACGTGGTGGCGCCGGTCCCCGCGGCCGCTGTGGTGCCGCCGGAGGCGGTGGGGCCGGCGGGTCGCGGCGAGGAGCTGCACGGAGTGCCGTACTACAGGTCGGCGTAGGGCCGTGTAGTCTTCGAACCAAGGCGCGAGTGGTCACTGTCTCTGCTCGCGGCGATCGTGCCAACTCCCTTGTGCGTGCGCCACCGCATCTGCGTGATCGGGAGTGCGGGGGCGTACTTGTGGGTGGATTTGTACCATTGGGGGGTGTGTGTGTGTGTGAGAGATGCTGTCAGGGTGTGCACGATGATCATGTTTGAGAGATGGTGTGTGTACTATACTCGCGGGGAGCGGTAGTGTAGCGGTCGGCGCGCTGCGCTACGAACCCGGCGACCCAAGTTCGATTCCCGCTCACGGCCAACACCGGTGACTGTTATCTGAACTGGTCCTATGCCTCCCCTAGGTTGACTCGGCCTCAAATTAGTACCTGGTGCCGTGCATAAACATCGCCACATCGTTGTGTACCTTGCGGCCTTCATAGGTGCTCGCTAACAGCACTTGCCCCAAACAGTCTGTTAAGGCTATTCAGGGGATCTTTGTCTTTCATGCTGTCATGGTGTGGAAGGTAATAATTTTGAGAAATGGTGTATGTATTATACTCATGGGGCATGCGAGTTGATTGTGAGATGGTTGTGTGAGATATGCTGCGAGTGGCATGCTGGGCGAGATGTTTGAGCTCTGCTGCCTGTGTGTGAGCTACTGCGCTGTGTGTGTTGTGTGCGTGTGTATGTGCGGAATGCTATGTGTGAGATGTGCAATTATGTTTTTATGCGTGAACGTCGCGTATGTATGAGATTGTGCATTTGCGTGATTTCTCATGGGGCTATGTGAGTCCGTGTGTGTGTGGACATGATTATGCGTATGTGCATTGTCCTGTGTGACTATGTGTGTGTGTGTGCATCTGTGTGGCTTTGTTTGGGGCTGTGTGTGTATCCGAGTGTGGTTGGGTATAGCGGTCGGCACGCTGCGCTATGAACTGGCGACTCAAGTTCGATTCTCCGCTCAGGGCCAACACCGGTGACAGTTATTTGAACCTGGTCCTAGGCCTCCCCTAGGTCAACTCGGCCTCAGATGAGTACCCGGTGCGGTGTTGTAAACATCGCCACTGGGGAGACAAAGGCGGCCGTGCATGGTGCTGGCCATCCCACCCCCCCCGTGTACTGTACCGGCCTTCATCGGTGCTGCTCGATAAACAGCACCTGCCCCCGAGAGTCCGTTAAGGCTGCGGTGGTGGTTGTGGGGGGGAGATCTGTCTTTGTGCCTGTGTGTAACGGCGTGTGCACGGCCGTGCGTTTGTCCAGGTACCTCCTGCGGAAGGAGAGCGCCCGCCTGACTCTGCAGTGCGAGAAGTGGGAGCACGTGAACGTCGTGGAGGAGGTCCCCGAAGAAAGTGAGCTCCCCTCCCCCGTCCTCCCCTCTTTTTCCCTCCCGTATCATCGCTTTACCTCCCCTCCCCCTACAATCTCCTCCCCTCATCACTCTCCACCCCCCCTTCCCCTTTTTCTCACCTCCGCCCCCACCACCCAGCCTCTGCTGGTTCACCACTGGCGCTGTTAAGATTGACACCTGCAACACAGCAAATGCCATTCGCATATTTAGCAGGTGTCTGTTGCTCGTAAGAACCAGGCACGTGTGTTTTGGTGCGCGCGTCCTGCATGCGTGTGGTATTTCCCCCTTGTGCGTTGTTTCACATGTACGTCGCCGATGAACGAGCGAACGTGTTTTCCCCGTAAGTTGAATGTCTTGCGGATGCGTTCTTTGTATGCGTCAAAAAAAAAAGAGCGCTCGGCTGTTTTCCCGCGCGCGGTTTTTTTTTCAACTGGGAACGTGCGGTGGCCAAGCACGTGGAGGGCTCCCCTCTGCACGTGCTGCGTGCTGTACTCCTGTGGCTCCGGATTCATTGTCGGATGAAGAGGCAGTTGATTCTATATTTGTGTGTGTGTGTGTTTATTGAACCTCTTTCGCACCGTATATAGCTAACCAGATTTGCGGGGTAAGGGAGAATATTTTCAAATTGTGATTTGTAACTGTGATCCTTACCCATGTTTCGCTAGTTACATTCTAATGTGCAATTTTATTGAAGGACTGTGTGCTGTCTTGGTGTGGCGGGACTGTTTTTGCTGTTGTTTTACTGCCTTTCCCGAGCTTGGGAATTTATGTCCTTATGCAATTTGAACTTACATTTTTTATTATTCTTTTATTTATTTATGGGGCGCCATGATAGCGTGGTGTTATCTTCCTTGGCTGGTACCCAGGAGGTCGGAGGTTTGATCCCAACCCTGATGCCTCTAGATTTGGAGTTTGCACGTCTCTTTCCCCGTGATCGCCTGCGATTTTTTTTTCTCCGGTTCCTCTGGTTTTTCCCTCCAAATTTAGAATCAACGTCACGCGTTTACAGTATTTGGATTATTTAGATCAGTGGTGGCCAACTGGCATCTCTCGAGCCGCAAGCTGATCTTTAATCCACCGCAAGGGATCTATCGAAGGGGCATAACATAGAAACGTACTCTCACAGTCGCAGAGAATAATAAATGTCTCCCATGCTGTGCCGAAAACTGTCAATATATACACACACGTTCTTGGTTCTTTCGGTAAAGTCACGTCGAAATGTCGTGATAATGTTATTGTTTTATATTTTTATTATTTTATTGTGTCCCTTCTACGTGACTTTACCGAAAGAACCAAGAATATGAATCCCTGCAGTCACGAAAGCTTTAAATCAAAATATATATACGCACTTTTATAAATACACTTGGCTTTTTGCAGAACTCTCGTGGGTACCTTTTGGCTCTCGGTCTTTTTGTTACAGGTTGGCCATCCATGATTTAGAGGACTCGGCGGCTTTACATTTCCTTGCGATAAGCCACTTAGGCTATCATTTGTGGCCAGGTGACTTTTGAAAAAGTAACCTAAATAGCTCGGTGGGTCATATTCTTAGCTCTTTCGGTAAAGTCACGTTGAAGGGAAACAATATTTTATTATTTTATTGTTTCCCTTCAACGTGACTTTACCGAAAGAGCTAAGAATCTGAATTACTGCAGTCACGAAAGCTTTAAATCAAAATTTAGCTCGGTGGGCTTTACCTCGTAAAATAAAAATAGTTTCGCTTTGTGATTTGATTTTACCTTTCTGATACTTTGCACTCCTTTCGTGTTTTTGTTGTTGTAACTTTCGTGACCCCATGCCCCTACTGGACATCCGTGAAAAATAGGCTCATAGCACATTGGATTCCTCCTCCAGTTTAAATAAATATGCTGATGTTGTTCTCCAGTCGACATGGTTACTAAATATCTATCAATACAATTCTGTAATTCGCTGATCAATTTTCAGCTTGTCAATTTTTTTTTCTGTTAAATTTTCTGACCCCGTGTCATAGCTAAGCACTCGCCACATTCGTCAACAGCACTGCCTTAAAAAAAAAAACAAATTACACTTCAACACTCATGACTATTATCTCAACCGTTCTTGGACCCCTTCCCCCTAGGTCGACTCGGCCTCAAATGAGTACCTGGTGCGATGTGTAAACATCGCCACTGGGGAGACAAAGGCGGCCGTGCGTGGTGTTGCCCAGCCACCACCTCGTGTGCCGTGCAGGCCTTCATCAGCGCTCGCTCACGGCGCCTTGCCCCAACAGTCTTATGAGGCAATACCGGGGATCTTTTGTCTGCGTGTCTGTCTGTACGCGGCGTCTTAACCTGCGCGAGCTCGCCCTATTTCCCCCCACCTCCCCAACATTAATCCACGCGCGTGTTTGCGTGAACCCGCGTACGTTAACCCGTGTTTGCGCGGTAATCCCTCTGCACGTGCGCACGCTAATCCGTTTGTGAGCGTTAATCCGCGCGCAAGTGTTAACCCAAGTGTGCTCGTAATGGTGCGCGCAGTGAGCGGGCCCGTGCGCATCGCGGTGGGGATGGCGCGGCTGCTGATGGCCGAGAGGTTCCGCCAGTTCGAGGGCCTGGTGGACGACTGCGACCTGGGCCGGGGAGAGAAGCCCACCACTCTGTGCGACCTCGCCGGCTTCTGGGACATGGTTTACTTCCAGGTAGAGTAGGGGGCACAACGACAAAGATACGCCCCCGTGCAGCCTTAACAGACTGTTGGGGCGAGCGCTGTTTGCGAGTAGCACCTCCTTAAGGACGGCACAGGACACGCCCAGCCGTTCAGACAAATACACGCGCACAGACGCAAACGCGCGAACGGACATTTACAGGAATCCTTCATTATACATCGGGAATGCTTTCCTGGGAAATGCTACTGGGGGGGGGGTGGCCAGCACCACGCCCGACCGCCTTTGTCTCCCCAGTGGCGATGTTTACACACCCACACTAGGTAGTCATTTGAGGCTGAGTCGACCTGTATGTATATATGTTGAACGTACGGTGCTAAAGAAGTGAAACATACGTACACATCAACTCAGCCGTCTCAAGGGAGGCCCAGGACCGGTTCAGATGATCGCCACTGCTATAGGTTGTGAGCGGGAATTTAACCCTGATCGCCAGGTTCGTAGCGCGGTGCGCTGCGCTACCGCTCCCACACACAAACGATCCCTCGCTCCGACCAACAAGTCATTGCTTTCACCAACAGAGACTCGTCTTTCTTTGGACTCATCTGAGGCGCGCGAGCCTGTGGTCATGCGTGCGTGCGCACTTAGTAATGTAGCGGCTAGTGCGCTGCGCTACGAACCCGGTGACCTGAGTTTGATTCCTGCTCACGGCCAACACCAGTGACGATTATTTGAACCGCCGGTTCTGGGCCCTCGCCTCGGGTCGACTCAAATGAATATGCGTGGCAGTGCGTAAACATTGCCACTCGGGAGACATTGCCACATGAGGGGCATGGCGCTGGCCGCCCACCCCCCTCATGTGCTGTTCTGGCCTTCACAGATGCTCGCTAACTAACAGCACTTGCCTTAATAGTCTGTTAAAAGGCTCTCCGGGTGATCTTTGTGTGTATGTGTGTATGTGTGCGTGCAGGTGGAGGACGTGAATAAAAAGTTTGCAGAGCTGGAAAATATGCAGGGCGCAGGCTGGAAAGAGGATTTGATCATGCCGCCCCCGAGGCCTCTCCCCGCCAGGGTGGGCTCCCTCCCTCCCTGTTCCCCATCCCATCCCCCCTCCTTCTCCGCCTTGCTCTCCCTCAGGAGTGCTGTGTGGCCCAGGCTGATGCTGCTGCTTGCAGAATGATAGCACCGTGAGGAGCAGGGTGGCTCTGACAGCGCTGCGTTATGCAACGATAGTGGCCCCCGTCGTTGCGCCACGACTCGTGTTTGTTGACGATGGCGTGCGTCGCGTCGCCGTTGCTGCTGCTGCGTTTAAACTCGGCGCGAGTTGATGGTCAAGTTGCACGCCGCGTTGAAACTCGCGCGTTGGTTGTCGGTCGCGTCACTTTGCCCCCCCCCCCCCCCCCCGTGTTGAGACTCGTCGATTCTTGACGGGGGGCGGGGGGTGATGCGGGTCGTCTCTCTCGCCGTGTTTCGTGTCGACAGAAGAAGAAGGCGGCGGCGGTGGCGCCGCGCGCCCCGGCCACGCGCAACGACGGCGCCCGGCGCGCCGCTCGCGAGAGGCTCGCCGCGTTCAGGGCCAAGGCGGCGCTCGCACGCGGGGCCAAAGGCGTCGGTGAGACACGCGATCACACGGCGCACGCACGCACAGACAGGCAGACGCGAAGCCTTTCCGACAGTTTGGCCAAGAAGTTGCTTTTCGAGCACCGATGAAAGGCCGGCGCGGCGCGCAGGGGGCTGCGAACGCCGGCTGCACGCCGGGCTGCCGTCGTCTCGTCAGTCGCCCTTGGCCGTTGCATCGGGCGAGGTGCGGAGGCCTGCGTTTTGAGGATTTCTCGGCGGTTAACGCCAACGAAGCGTGCGCACGTCGCACCGCGAAACGCGGGGCGACACGTGGATTGCAGCCTGTTGGGGCCGAATTTAAATTGCGCACGTGCGTGCGATAGAGAAATCCGCGTCTGTTCGCTAATAAAACGCGCGTTAACAATTGAATTTGAAGCGGAAACCTTTCATCCCGGTTCCTGTCTCTCCTCCCCTTCCTTCTGTCGACTTGTCTGCACGTCTATTCACGTCTTTATCTTCCCCGCTGCGTCTCTCCCTTCATCTCGTCTCTCCTTTATCTCCCCCTTCCCCCCCCCCACCCCCGTCTCTCTTTATCTCCATGTCTGTGCTTGCCGGCGCTTTCTGGTTCCGTCTTGTGACGGGGACTCCTCTGTGTTCTGACACGAGCCGCCTAATTGGCTTCGACGTGGGTCTCCGGTTTCGCCCCAGCCCTTTAACTGTCCTGCTTATTTAGTCATTAGTCACTGCAACGTGTAATGGGCTTGGCCGAGTCTGTAATGAAATATTCAGGTCGCTGCTGCTGCGCTGCTTTTTATGCTTTATTGCCTTTTGAGAGAAAATGGTAATTTATATTTTAATGGAAATTCAATTACTTGGGAATCCGTGCAGTCCATTTCTGGATTACGGAGGTGTCAGAGTTAGATGGGAATAGAAAGCCTTCGGAGCTTTAATATAACGGGCACATTTTCCCGTGGCGTGAAGCGTGCGTGTGCGTTTTCCGTAGGCTTCGTCGCTTAAGTTAAATTTAAAATACAAATATGTTTCTCTCTGTACGGTTCACTTGGCCATTTTTAAACGCATGACAGACTTCGTGGAGAATTTTGATGGGACATTAGTGCCGAGTTTTAGTGAATCTGCGAAAGCCTTGGGGGACGCCCCCCCCCTTCCTCCGGCCGGGTGGCGGTGTGGAGGTGGGAGGTGACGAGGTCCGGTTATTGGGGCGGGCGGTGGGTCGGGGGGCGGTTGCATTTATCGGCGTCCCACCTTAAGGGGTCCCCTACCCCTTCTGGCACTTAGACCATGCATCCTTGTGGGGCTCCAGTTCTGTGTGGTCCTCCTCCTGCCTTTGGTGATCCCCTCCAAAGGGGGATCCGGCCGTCGTGGGGGCTGGTGCGAGGGGCGGTTGTTATTGACGGAGCTTCTTTGTGGTTGCTCCCCAATCGGTCCAGTGCCTTACGCGATGCACTCTCTCGTCCCAGAGGAATACTGCGTGGAAGCAGGGGCCCCACTACCACCACAGCAGGGGGAGGCCCCATCACTGCAGCAGGGAGAGGCCCCACCAACACCACAGCAGGGCGAGGCCACAGCACTGCAGCAGGGAGAGGCCCCACCACAGCAGGGGGTGGCCCCACCATTGCGGAGCCCCACAACACCCAGGGGCCGCAAGAGGTCACGTGGGGGGAGCATGACCCCCTCCGTGACGGTCGCCTTTGAGGGGGATACACCGAGGGAGGCGCGGAGACCCCTACGCAAGACCCCGCGCCCTGCTCCCGTGCCCCCCTCGCCCGACACCCCCGACAGCCCCCCCAGGTAACCCCACTCGTCCCTCACTCCTGCTGCCAACCTCACCACGCTGTCCTCCCTCCATCCCTACCGCCATCCACCCGTTCTCCAGGCCCCCATCCATCATCACCATCTCGCCAATCCCACCACCACTGAACCATCATCACCACCACCATCAGAAGAACGTCACCACCACTTCCTGCCCCCACCACCATTACAAGCCTCATCCCCTCACCACCACCTCACCAATTCCACCACCGCCATAGTGGCGAGGTTGCAGTGGCGTGGGGCGTCCAGCAGGGAGGGCCGCTTCCTCGCAGCCGTGCGTGCACGCAGGAGGTGAGGATCTGATTGTATACAGCGTGGTGAGGATCTGACTGTATACAGCGTGGTGAGGATCTGACTGTATACAGCGTGGTGAGGATCTGACTGTATACAGCGTGGTGAGGATCTGACTGTATACAGCGTGGTGAGGATCTGACTGTATACAGCGTGGTGAGGATCTGACTGTATACAGCGTGGTGAGGATCTGACTGTATACAGCGTGGTGAGGATCTGACTGTATACAGCGTGGTGAGGATCTGACTGTATACAGCGTGGTGTGCGTCTGTGTGGTGTCTATCCGTGGTGTGTGTTTGTATGGTATGGCTACGTGTCTATGGTGTGTGGTATGTGTGTGTGGCTGTGTCTATGGTATCCATAGTGTGGGGAGCGGTAGTGTAGCGGTTAGCGCGCTGCGCTATGAACCTGGCGACCCGGGTTCGATTCCCGCTCACGGCCAACACCAGTGACGATTATCTGAACCGGTCCCGGACCTCCCCTAGGTCGACTCAGCCTCAAATGAGTACCTGGTGCGGTGGATACAAACATTGCCACTAGGGAGACAAAGGCGGTCGGGCGTGGTGCTGGCCACCCACCCCCTCGTGTACCGTCCCGGCCTGCATAGGTGCTCGCTAACAGCACTTGCCCCCTACAGTCTGTTAAGGCTATATGGGGGATCTTTGTCTTTTTGGTATCCATAGTATGTATGTGTGGTGCATGTGGGAGCAGTCGTGTAATGGTTAGCGAGTTGCGCTAAAGAACCGGCGACCCGAGTTTGATTCCCGCTCACGGCCAATTCCAGTGACGGTTATCTGAACCAGTCATGGGCCTCCCCTAGGTCGATTCAGCCTCGGATGAGTACCTGCTGTGGTGCGTAAACATCGCCACTGGGGAGACAAAAGTGGCTGGGCGTGGCGTTGGCCACCCACCACCTCGTGTGCCGTGCCGGCCATGGTAGGTGCTTGCTAACAGCACTCGCCCCAAAAGTCTGTTCAGGCTATACGGGGGATCTTTGTCTTTAGAATCAATGGTGTGTGTGTGGTCACGTGTGGTCACGTCATGCTAGGTGCTGTCAGGTGGAACCGAGCCCAGCAGAGTCGCTGGCCTCTGAGAGAGACGTGGATGAGGTGAGATCCGCTTGCGAGGCTTGGGCAAGAATCACGGGGTGGGGGGTGGGGGGATCACGGGGGGGGGGGTCACAGGGGGGGGATCACGGGGGTGGGGGGCATGAGCAGGTAACCCTTGCTTCCCTCCACCACCACCACCACACACAGGCAGCCAACGAGCAGATAGTTTGCATAAGTTTTGTGGATTAATTACCTGCAGCACAGTAAATGGGCTATGTCGAAGTCAATCTCTTAACCCTGCTCTCCGGGGATGCGAGGTTATTTAATGTACCAGAACAACGAGGCGCGCTCATTAAAAGGCCCGGTTTGCATTGCTCATTATCGGCTGCCTTTTAAAAAAAAAGGGGGGGGGCGGAGCAATTACCGCGTGCGGCAACGCGAGCGTGAGAGGAGGGGCGTCGCTGCCCCCGTGCCTCCACGCGCTAATGGAGCGTCGTTATTTTATCGGACGGCGCCAGTTGGAGCTGTCAATCAGCAAGTACCTGGTGCCGAGCCAAGCGGCGGCCGCTCGCACCCCCGAGCGGCAGCGAGTGGAGGCGCAGCAGCAAGAGGGCGAGGAGGAGGAGGATGCGGTGACCGGAGGGGAGCTCCTCGTCCCACTGTCCAGCGACCCGGGTGAGTGGCTGAGCGGCGAGCGAGCGTGCGAGTTGGTGAGTGAGCGAGGTGGGTAAGCGGATGGTTGAGTGAGTGAGTGAGCGAGTGGATGGGGCGGTTGAGCGGGTGAGCGGGTGTGCGATTGAGCAGGTGAGTGGGCGGGTGAGGGAGCGGGAGGATGAATGGGATTAGCGCGTCGAGTGAATTTGTGGGTTGAGGGAGTGAGCGAGCATAGAAAGGGGGCGGGTGAGCAGGCGATCGTGACATCCCCCCCGCTGTTGTCCGCGGGTGGAGGTGGTGGCGGCGGCGTTGTGGCCGTGCGTTTCGTCACGTCACGCTAATTAAAAGGTCGCGCTGATGGCTGCCTCTGCCGATGGGGCACGATCACCGTGAGCGCCGCCGAGACCTGTCTGTCCCCCGCCCGTTGCGCGCGAGCTCGTGTGCGCAGTAGTTCATGCACGCGCGATCTCGTGCACACGCGTGTCAAGTCGCCGTGTTTGCCACGGCTCGCTGCTGCCTGCCGTGTGTTGGGTAGGTGCCCGTGCGGCTGTAGTGGGGAGCGGTAGTGCAGCGGTTAGCGAGCTGGACTACGAACCCGGTGACCTGAGTTCGATTGCCGCTCACGGCCACCAATACCGGTGACGATTATCTGAACCGGTTCTGGGCCTCCCCTAGGTCCACTCGGCCTCAAATGAGTACCTGGTGCGGTGTGTGAACGTCACCACTGTGGGAGACAAAGGGGTGTCTGTTTTGTGTCTTAATAAGTGGGGGCCTTTCCATTATCTTCACCAAAACAAATAAGCGTTGCATTAAAGGCGATACGGGGGGATCTTTGTGTCAGCGGGTAATGGTGGTTGAAGTGTTTAGCGCATTGTGCTGTGAACACAGCAACCATTCCTGGCCACGGCTATCATCGGTAACCAGTGCTATCTCAGTCAGCCCTCAGTCTCCCTGAGGCCGACTTGACTTTCAAATGAGCACCAAGTAGACTGAAAATGATAGGGGGTTTTGCTCGCCATTCCACCCCTTCGTGTCTATAAACAGTACTTGCCCTCGCAATGTCAGTGGCCGTATGGGGGATCTTTGTGCGTGACTTTTGGCTGTAGGATCGCGTGTAACTGTCTTGTTTATCACCTCGTAGGTTCGGTAGCATTGAAGTTGCAAGTTGCGCGTGTGTTCGATTCCCGCTCGGGGCCAACGCCGGTGACGATTATCTGAACTGGTCTCGGGCCTCCCCTCGGTCGGCTCGGCCTCAAATGAGTTCCTGGTGCGGTGTGTAAAAAACATCGTCGCTGGGGAGACAAAGGCGGTCGGGCGTGGTGCTGGCCACCCGCCACCCACCTCGTGTGCCGTGCCGGCCTTTATATGTGCTCGCTAACAGCACTCGCCCAAACAGTGTGTTAAGTCTATACGGGGGGGGGGGGTGTGGAGGTCTTTGTCTCAGCGTGGCTGCTCGGTGTGTGCGTGTGTGGACCACCGCCGTGGGCTTTACGTCCCTGGTCGTGCTGCTCATGAAACTGTTGTTGGCCCTGGTGTGAGGATTAACGGAGCACCCGTCGGTGAAACAAGTGGCGCCCGCCAGCCCTCCTCGCGAGCACATGCTGCACACACCGAGCCCACACACAAAGACAAAGATCCACCGTGTAGCCTTAACAGACTTTTTGGGGCAAGTGCTGTTTGTCTCCCCACTAGCGATGTTTACACAGCGCACCGGGTACTAATTTGAGGCTGAGTCGACCTAGCGGAGGCCCAGGACCGGTTCAGAGAATCGTCACCGGCGTTGGCCCTGAGCAGGAATCGAACCCGGGCTGTCGGGTTCGTAGTGCGGCGCGCTGACTGCGATGCTACCACTCCCACACACACACACACACATCCTGCCCCTGTGCGCAAGCACCACGCTGGCACGAGGGGGCTGGTTTTAGACGACGAGGCGGCGCCCTTTCGCGACAAATCCACTTGGCGCAGCTCAGCTCCCCCGCCGCCGGGGCACTGGCAGGCCAGGCCACCCGTGTGGCGGTGATGGCGGCGCCGATGATGGTGCCGATGATGATGATGATCGTGGCAATGATTCATTGGGCACCGTCGGGTTTGCGTTGCTTGAGTGCGCCAGCGGCTGCGAGGACAGGTGTGCGTCTGGCGCGTGTGCATTTGTGTTTGTGCGCGTGATACGTGGTGCACGTGTGTGTGTGTGGGTGGGTGCTCTTGTAGGCGTATGTCGCGCGTCTATGTGTGTGTGGGCTTGTGGGGAGCGGTCGCGCAGCGGTTCGCAAGCTGCGCAATGAACCTGGCAATCCGAGTTCGATTCTCGCTCACGGCCAACGCCAGTGACGCTTATCTGAACCGGTCCTGGGCCTCCCCTAGGTCGACTCAGCCTAAAATGAGTACCTGGTGCGATGTGCAAACATCGCCACTGGGGAGACAAAGGCAGCTTTCGTGTGCCGTGCCGGCCTTCGTAGATTCTCGTTAACACACTTGCCCAAACAGTTTGTTAAGGCTATATGGGGGATCTTTGTCTTTGTGCGGGCTGGTATGCCCAAGCGGTTCCTGTTTGGCCAGATAGTGGGCCAAATGGCCGTGACACGGGCTAAAGAAGAGATGGACTGATGCGTTAAAGAAAGGATGTGGAGCTGAGTGGACTTGCCGATGACCAGTACCAGTGGTGTGAAGATCGGCCTCTGTGGAGGAGGCTCGTGATGGACGCTACTGGGAGTAGTTGGAGGCAGTCGCACTCCAGCAACAACAGGGAGCGGAGAAGCAACGCTCACAACAGCGAGCAGAGCGCTGGGCGGATAAAATAGAACAAGCTGGGCACAGTGTGGGGCACAGGTGTGGTGCATCTGCCAGTCATTTCAACCAGTCAACCTATGGCGCACATAGGTCTGTTCCCTGACCTGCCAGCAAGCTTTCGACACTTCAGCGTGGCTTCAAGGTGTACCTAGCCTGGCACAAGTACCATGGTGACGTGACCGCCACTTAGTGGCGAACGGCGGTTGTTGTTGCGTGTGCTTGTGCGTTTATGTATTCGCGCGCGCGCGTGTGTGTGCAGGTGCATATGTGCGTGTTTGTATCTGTCCCAATGTACGTTAGTGTGTGCCTGCGCTTACGTGTGTTTGTGTGAATGCATACGAGCGTGCGTGATGACGCAGTGGTTAGCGCAGTGCAGTACGAGCCTGATTTCGTGGGTGCAGTTCCCGCTCACGGCTTACATCAGTGGCGAATATCGGAACCGGTTGTGGGCCTCCCCTACCTATCTCCGCCTGGCGTGGTGTGTAAACATCTGCACCGGGGAGACGAAGGCCAACGGTCATGGTGCAGGTCAAAACCGCACCTTCATGCGCCGTGGCACTTGCCCTCGCATTGCTGCGTGGGCTACACGGGGGATCTTTGCCTCCTGCTCCTCAGCGTTCCCTCCTTGGATGCGCCTTGCCCAGCCAACTTTTATTGTCAGGCGAGGGGTGCGGGGGCTCGGAGCCCGCGCGTGCCCCCTCCACCCGCTCCACCCCTACCCGCACGTGTAGTAAAGTGGCGTGAGAGGCGGAGAGGGATTAGCGGGGATTAAGAGCGCGGGCCGCTGTGTTTGACGCGCGTTTCTCTCTCCCCAGGGCTCCTGTGGTGTGCGGGTGGCTCGCTGCTCACCACTCCCTTCCTCGCCTGCGACTCGCCACTCGCCACGGTACGGGGCGGCGGGGGGGGCTTCACACAACTCGCCTCGCTGGCGTACATGTTCACTCATCACGGCAGAGGGGGGTTGGGGGTTACCTCGCCGCTAAAAACAGTACCTTGCCAGGGTACCTCACCGCGGTGCCTCGCCACTCACCACGACGTGGGGGGCGGGGTGGTTGGGTGTGGGGTTCCTCGCTTCTCAGCATGGCGCTGGGGTGCCGAACCACTTGGCATTTCACAGGGTGGGCGGGGGCACCTCACCACACCGCTCATCACGGTGCGGGGTGACTCACCATGGTACGGGGTTTGGTGGGGGGGGCAGCGGTGATTCACTACTCCCAGTGGTACGGGAGACGGGGATTGGAGGATGGCAAGCGACGGTGTGCGGGTGTGCGTGCAGGAGGAGGGCTTCGCCAACACAGCCGTGAAATGCGTAGGAACTGAGAGGAGGGGCAGGGGAGAGGGTGTGCTGAGAGGGAGGGGGGGGGGCCCGTTTGAGGTCCAATGCCCATTAGGCGACTGTCTGCTCAAATATATGAACCTGCCTGTGTTATCGCGAGCCTTTAATGCCTTTAAAATGATCCCCGAGCATGAAACCCCTATTATCCCGTCGTGCATTATCGCCCGGCCTTCATTGATTTGAGTAACGCACTTAATCTCTGCGTGTGGGAAATGCCCGGAGGGAGCAAAGAGGGGAGAAATGGCTTTTATTAATCTAATTAATCCATGGTAATTGATGTATTTTCTGTTTCACCGAATCGCACCCCCTCCCCCCGAAGATGCGCGAGGTCGCCTTCCTTGTTCGCTCGCCGCACGAGGTGCGCGAGTCGCTGGGCGGGCAGGCATGAGGATGATGGGATGGTGGGGTGGTAGAGAGGCGGGGATGGTGGGCTGTTGGGATGATGGAGTGGGAGACGGGCGGGGATGGTGGGGTGTTGGGATGATGGGCAGGCGGGGATGGTGGGATGGGAGACAGGTGGGGATGGTGGGCTGTTGGGATGGTGGGATGGGAGACAGTCGGAAATAGTGGGCTGTTGGGATGGTGGGCAGGCGGAGATGGGCAGCTTTCGGGATGGTGGGCAGGAGGGGGGGGTGGTGGGTGGGGGGGAATGGTGGGCTGTTCAGGATGGTGGGTAGGTGGGGCTAGTGAGGAGGTGGTGGAAATTGCTCCCACCCATGGCTCTGGGCAGCAGCAGTAGCAGCAGCTGCTGCCCGTTGGCACATGGGCAGCAGCAGCAGCAGCAGCTCATGTCCCGTTGCTCTCCTGCTCGTGTTTTCGCGCGAGTCGCCCTAATTGCTTCCTCCAGCTTGACGTACGCTCGCGCCTTGTGGTGTGACTTTTTTTTTTCGTGCCGATTGCACGAATCCACCAGACTGTCTGACTCCTTTCATCTCGATGATCTGTTCCTCTGCCGCTGTCAGCGTAACCACATCCGCGGGGATGCGCCGTGTGCCCATGCGCACGTCTTGCTCGTTAGCGTGCGTTCGTTTGTGTGAGCGACGGGGAGGTGTGTGCCGTGGGTACCTAAGTGTGTAGATGTATTGGAGAGAGGGTGTGTGTGTGTGTTCATGTGTGCTGTGTTCATGTGTGTGCGCAATGTGGGTGCGTTTGTATTTGTGTGTACACAATTGACGATTATCTGAACCGGTGCTGGGCGTCCCCTAAGTCCAAAAGCAGCCTTAAATGAGTACCTGGTGCGATGTGTAAACATTGCCACTGGGGAGACAAAGGTGGCCAGCCGTAGCGCTGACCACCCACCCGCTCGTGTGCTGTGCCGGCCTACATAGGTGCTCGCCAACAGCACTGGCCACAACAGGCTATACGGGGCATCTTTGTCTTTGGTTGCAAGTGCAGATGTTTGGTGCTTGAGGGTGCGTGGGTGTATGTGCACATGTCCTTGAGTGGGGCACGCATATCCGAATGTAAGATGTGCATGAATACACGTTGTGTGCCGATGTGCGTTGTGTTCCACGTGTAATGTGAAATGTATTTGTCGTGCTCTGATGTCAAGTTTTTACGTTGTTTAACTGGGCGAGCGCTCGAGAGGCCAGGCGAGGTCTCATTTACAAGCGTGACATGCCAGTGACATGCCAGTGACATGCCTAGTGAAGTGTGTGTGTGCAAGAGTAAGTATGTATGTGGTGTGCATGCGTGTGCGGTGTGTGTGCATGCGTGTGCGGTGTGTGTGCATGCGTGTGCGGTGTGTGTGCATGCGTGTGCGGTGTGTGTATGGTCTCTATGTGTTGGGGAGCGGTAGTGCAGCGGTCGGCGCGCTCCGCTACGAATTCGGCGACCCGAGTTGGATATCCCCGCTCACGGCCACACACAGTGACGATTATCTGAACCGGTCCTGGGCCTCCCCTAGATCGGCTCGACCTCAAATGAGTACCTGGTGCGGTGTGTCAACATCGGCACTGCTGAGACAAGAAGGCGACTTGACCACTGGGTGGTGCTGGCCACACCAAACCCATCGTGGCGCCGTGCCGTGCCTGGCCTTAATCGGTGCTCGCTCACAGTACCGGCCTCAAGAGTTTGCATGATAGGGCGGTGGGGGGGTGATTTTGTCTTGGTATGCGTGTGTAATGTCTGTGTGTATCGTAATGCACGTGTCTATGGTGTGGTTATTGTGTATGCAGTTTGTGTAATGTGCTCCGCGCAATTGTGTGGGGTGTGTATGTAATGTGTGTGATGAGAGTGAGTGTGTGTGCTATGTGTGCGGGGAGCGGTAGTGTAGCGGTCAGCGCGCTGCGCTACGAACCCGGAGACCAGAGTTCGATTCCTGCTCACGGCCAACACCAGTGACGAATATTTGAGCCTGTCCTGGGTGTCCCCGAGGTCGACTCAACCTCGAGATGAGTACCTGGTGTGGTGTGTAAGCATCACTGGGAAGACTAAGGTGGTCGGACGTGATGCTGGCCACCCACCCCCATGTGTACCGTGCCGGCCTTCATAGGTGCTCGTGTAACAGCACTTGACCCAAAATCCTGTTAAGGCTATACGGGGGATCTTCATCTTTGTGTAATGTGTGTGTACTGTGTATGGAAAGTGTGTGTGTGTGTGTGCGCTGTGTGGTTTGTGCCTCGTGTGATGTGTGGCGCATGCCTGGCCGGGTTTGTGAAGCGATTGACGCGCGTGATACATGCGTGGGAGGGTTCCCGGCATATGCGTGACGTGTGCGTCACACACACACGTGTATGATGTTTGAAACGCACGCCTTTCTGTGTGTGTGCGCACGAGTGCTGTTCAAACGTTGGCGGAGGAGCGTCGAAAACGCAGCAAGTTAGCACAGCGGGGAAGCACAGGTGGTGCATCTGCCAGTTATCTTACCAGTCGGCCCGGACACATTGCTTGGTCCTCCCCGTGACCTCTTTGCCAGCGAGTATTCGACACCCCTGACGTGGACCTCAACAGCGCGCAGTGGCGACGTCGGTGGCTGTTGTCGTGGTCGTCGTGGCGCGTGTACCTTGTGTTGGTCCCGGTGTCTCCGTGCGCGGGTTGCACACCAACCCCCGTCGTGTGTGTTTGAGCAGGCCTCACCAGCGCACCTGTTGACGCCCCAGGTGACGGAGGAGCGGGCAACCTCCGACAACCTCATCGTCTTCACCCCCAACGCCACAGGTGTGCACCACTCCCGGCTTACACGCACACCACCCCCCCCCCCCCTTGTGCCTAAACGTTCATTGATTTCACCTGAGCCGATTGGGCCGGATTGATTGCGGATGGTCAGTGGGGGGGGAGGGGGGGGGTTGCATGGGCTGGCGTGGAGAAGGAGGGCGGGGGGGGGGTCCAGAGGGCCTCTGTTCCTTCCCCCCCCCCCCCCCCTTTTTGCCATGAGCACCGCTCTGCTGCGTTGTGATTGGACGTGGTCTCCGGGCCCCGTTGTCAACTTACGCTGTAATTGGCAATCGCCGTCGGCCCGGTAACAGATTGGCCGCGCCGCCAGGGTGGAGGTTTGGATGTCGGTGGGGTGGGGGCTTGGCGTGGGAGGGGGTGGGGGGGGGGATAGGGCTCTGGCTCCGGGGCGGGTGCGTTAAAGCATCGCTTTAGCGGCCATCGCTCACACTCCTCTGGGTAATTAGAGTTTGTGTCACGTCGCTACCCCCCCCCCCCCAAGGTAAACGCGCATCCATCCAGTAGTGCGTGCCTAACAAGCCGCTCTGGACTGGAGTGATGCATTGTGCACACGCAGCTGCGCCATTGTGCAATAGAGAGGTGGGGGGGGGGGGGGGGGCTGTTGTGGAGAGGTGGGGGGGGGGGGGTTGGGAGGTTGAAGGGGGTGGGGGTGGGGTGGGTGTTGGGGAGGTTCCCAGAATGGGGCGCGTGGGTGTGGGGTGTTGATCGATGTCGTCACAAAGCCGGCGCAGCGGAGGCACGTGCGTTGTGCCGTCACCGCGTGGCTCCGCTGTCCAGTTGGCCGCCTCGCGCCCAAGGGAGAGGCGGTAATTGACGCCGTGAGAGTTAATTCCGCGTAATTGCGGCGAGGGGGGAGGTACGCCGCCGCTGCCGCCGTGCGCCCGCCCGCCCGCCCGCCCGCGTGAGAGAGCGAGAGAATGGGATGGCGACGACGTGCGAGCGAGCGATTTGAGAGCGAGCCGAGGCGTGATTGTGCGCGTGTCACCGAGTGTGATTGAGGCACTGTGTGTGTGTGCGTGCGTGCGTGCGAGCGACTTACAATGTGAGAGAAAGTCGGTGTGGGTGAGAGAGAGAGAGGGGAGGGTCCAAGCGAACGCGCGTGCATGCGCATGCCTAAGCCTGTGTGAAAGAGATTTCTGCGTTTGCTCTTGCGCGTGCGTGTGTGTGTAGGCACGTGCACGTGTCTGTGTGTGTGTGCGCGCGCGTATGCTTGGTGTCCCGAGTGTACAAGGTCGTTTGCGTGCAAAGGATTATATGCGTCTGCGCGCGCCTTCATAACATTAATTAAAAAAAATTATGGGGCTGCACTATAGCAGTGCTGCACAGGCAGAAAGAAAAAAACCAACCACCACGTTCGCCACGACCACAGATTTCTAACGGAGCGAAATGCAGCATGTCGTGAGGGTGACGTTTCAGGCGATGGTCCTTGTGTGTGTGCGCGCGTGTCTGAGGGCGGGGGAGCAGTGGTGGAGCAGTGGTGGAGCAGTTGATGCGCAGCTCACGGCCAACACCGGTGGCGATGATCTGAACCAGTTTTGGAGTCTCCCCTAGGTCGGCTCAGCCTCAAAATGAGTACCTAGTGTGGTGTGTAAACATCGCCACTGGGGGAGACAAAGGCGGTCGGGCGTGGTGTTGGCCACCCACCCCCTCGTGTGCCGTGCCGGCCTTCATAGGTGCTACTCGCTTAACAGCGCTTGCCCCAACAGTCTGTTAAGGCGGGGGAGCGACGCTAACAACAACAAGCTGAGCGGCGGGCAGCTGTAACGCAGCGAGTTGGCAAAGTGGGGAAGCACAGGTGGTGCATCTGCCAGTCATCTCAGTCGGTCAACCCATGGCGCCTGGGTCTGTCCCCGTCATCTCCTGCCAGCGGCGAGCCTTCGATACTTCAGGTGGCCTCAGAGTGTACCCAACTTGGTGGCGAAGTGGCGGTTGTTTTTGTTGAGCTGTGTAAGTGTGCCTGTGAGGTCGTGTGTCTTGGTGCGTATGAGTGTTTGAAAGAGTATCCTTGTGTGTGTGAGAATGTGGTGCGTGTGTGTGAGAGAATGTGGTACGTGTGTGTGAGAATGTGGTGCGTGTGTGTGAGAATGTGTTTGTGTGACAGAATGTGGTGCGCGTGTGTTTGTGTGAGAGAATGTGGTGCGTGTGTGTTGTCATGTGTAAGCCTTATGGGTTGTATTTAAGCATGTGTGTGTAAAAGCAAGGTGGAGGGTGAGTGTGTGTGTGCACAATCGTGAGTGTCTGAGGTCGTGTGTGTGTGTGTGTGTACGTGGGGAACGGTAGTGTGGTGGTTAGCCCGCTGCGCTATGAACCCGGCGACCCGAGTTCGATTCCCGTTCACGGCCAACACCAGTGACGATTATCTGAACCGGTTCTGGGCCTCCCCTAGGTCGACATAGCCTCAAATGAGTACCTGGTGCGGTGTGTTAACATCGCCAATGAGGAGACAAAGGCGGCCGGGCGTGGTGCTGGCCCCCCAACCCCTCGTGTGCCATTCCAGCCTTCATTGGTGCTCGCTTCCAGCACTTGCCCCGACAGTCTGTTAAGGCTTTACGGGGGATCTTTGTCTTGTGTGTGTGTGTGAAGTCGCGTGTGCCTGCGGGAGGCTGCTGCTTATAAGCCAGCGTGGTCGTGTTTGAGCATGTGTGTGTGTGTGTATGAGAGGGGTCGACTTTGAGTGTATGTGCCTGCGTGCGAGATCGTGTATGTGCACGTGCATGAGGTTGTATGTCTGTGAGGGCCGCATGCAATCCATTGCGTGGTCGCGCGTGTGCACGCGCGTGTGTGTGTGTGTGAGGTCGCGCGTGCGAGGACCCCATGTAATTCATTGCGCCGCCGTGTACAAGAGAGAGGTTGTGGCCAAGTGGTATCCTTGCACGTGTGATGGTCAAGCGTGTGTGAGGTCGAGCGCAAGCGAGTGGGGGGGGGGGGGGGGGGGAAGGCACGCGTGTCGCTGCAACTCCATTAGGGGGCCCGGAGCTGAGATGTTTCCTCCTCCCGATTGATACGAGATGCCCCTTCACAGGCGCCGTCGTGGGGGGGGGGGGGGGGCAGCACCGAAATAGAGGGGGGGAATCAGGAGAGCGGCGGCCTGCCAAGAGGGTAACTGAAAGACTCGGTTCTCATGCGGACAGGACGAGAGAGAGAGGAGAGACATTGCGAGAGAGACCTGGGGGCCCTTGCAGATAACTGAACGTGGGGGGGGGGGGTGGGGAGTATGGGTGGAGGACGAGGGGATGAAGTGGAGATTGGAGGGCAGTGCACATCTACAGCACATGCCTTCAGAATAGGAATGTTTTATACTGCAGGAATCCGGTGATCTCTGAAGCTCTTTTTGCACACACGTCCAGGAGATGAATGAAATGTGCGCTTTGAAGGTGCGCCCGCGCACGCACGCCCACCCCACAGCGTGCACGAGTGCGCCCCGTCTCGCCGCTCCCTGGACGACAACATTTAGAAACGTGCGCTCGGATTGTTTTGCTGCTGTAAAATTTGCACGTGATGAGCCACTTTCGTTGAGCTATCAATTGTGGCCAGGTTGGTTTCTGAAAAATTAGCTAATAGCTCGGAGGTCTTTACTTGGTCACATGAAAAAAAACCATTATGTTTTTGTTAAGCGATTTGTTTTCCTTTCCTATGCTTTGCACTCCTATCGTGTTTTTGTACGTTCTGACCCGCCCCAACTGGACATCTGTGAAAAAGAGCTTTGCAGCTCGTCGGATTTCTCCAGTACAAATAAATATTTTTATTCCTTCATTGTCCCCAATGTGGTCACGACGGCGCTCTCGCCGTTGTGGAACAAAGCGTCCATTAGCGGTGGGGAAACGGCCCACGGAAGCGGATATCAAACGGCTACCTTCAAGTGACTGTAGTTTCACAGAGCGCGGGGGCGGAAGCCGGGGGGGGAGGTGGGAGGGGGCGGCATCACTTTCGCAACCCGCGCCCGCGTGAATGTGGAACCCGATTAAAATACTTGAATCCTCGAGGGCCTGGAATTCTTTTTTCGCCAAATCAAGTGCGGCTCGAGTTTAATGCGCATGGGGTTTTTTTTATTTTTCTTCTGTGGGTGCAGTCATTGGCGAGGATTTCAGACCATGAACTCGCTACACTCAACTATCTGATGTTTTGGTGCTGCCGCGGTGGCTAGGAGATGTTAACTGCCATCACTGGTATACAGGAGTCGTGGGTTCGATGGACGACACTGACGCCTGCTGCTGTATATTTAGAGTTTGCGTGCTCTCCCCGTGGTCTCGTGGATTTTTTTTTTCCCAGGGTCCTCCGTTTTTCCCCTCCACATTTAGAACCGGTGTGCGTTACAGTATTTGGTCTGCTCTAAATTTCCACGTGACAAATCCACTCGTGAGCTGTCATTTTGTGGCCAGGTCGCTCTGAAAAGAGCCACAATAGCTCGGTGGCATTACCTGGTAAAATAAAAAAAATATTGAGTATAGTTTTCAATCGTGCTCGGCGAGCCAATGACCTCAGACCTCTGAGCCACTAGGCACCATCTCTCTTCGCCCGTTCCGTTCTCCCCCCCCCCCCACGTTCCCCCCTCGTCCCCCCTTCCGACGAACACGGGCAACCCTCTTACCATTGCAATCCGACGTACTAAGTTTCCATGTTTAGAGGAAAGAAAGGCTTTGCATTGCCCCCCCCCCCCCCCCCACCCCCCACTCTGCTGTGCTCGACGGATGCTTGTGGATGGCGATGGTGCCATTTTGAGTGGAGGTTTGACGCCTGGGGTGAATGTCGAGAGTGCTGCTCACTTTTGTATTTTGGCCTGGGGACCGTGCCCCCCCACCCCCGCTGAGCCGAGAGAGAGCGGAGTGCGGTGGTGGAATCGAGGGAGATCGCCGGGCCTCCCGTGCGGGGCGCCGTGCGTGTTGTGATTCGACGATGTGTGGTGCCGTGTGCAGTGTGTTATGTGTGTGTTGAATGGTTTTTGTGTATGTATGTATGTTGAACTTGTTTCTCACCGTTCGTAGCCAAGCGCCCTAATTGTGTATGTGTGTCCCGTGCGTTGTGTTGTGGGGAGCGCAAGTCTATCCGTTGGCGCGCTGCGCTACGATCCCGGCGACCCGAGTTCGATTCCCGCTCACGGCCAACACCAAGTGA